ATTATATATCAATTTTGTTACTTTTGGTTTTCGGGGGGGTATAGGGTATCAAAGAGAAACACTCATTCAAGTCACATCGGGGATCGCCATAAACATTAGCGTCATACTTCGTCCAGAAAACCGCAGCCGTTAGAGACTAGGAATCAAGACCCAAACAAAGAAAATAAGCAAAAGGGGGAAAAAGGTATGTGACGTTTATCTAGGTTGAACCAAAACGGAGAACGACTAGTAGTAGATCTTCTCCTCTTGGATAGGAGGAGCACCTCTTTCTTCATCCCAGGCAATCTTGCCCTTGTCGTTAATGGTGGCGTCTTCATCAGTGATACCAATGTAACGGCTGGTGTGAACGACTTCCTGGCGAGAGACGCCGGCAGCATCACGGGGAATCCAGAGGAGGGGTGCAGTAGCAGTGATGGAGGGATGATAGTATGCGTTTCTCTCCACTTCGGCTGGGTAGTCGGTGTCATAGGCACCGTGGGGGACGAGTTCGCGAAGCTGCTCGTAGCCCTCATACTTGTTCAGTCCAAGGAATTTAGCGACCATGTTTGGTTGGTTAGTAGCACCACGAACATCACCCTTCTCGACATCACCATTGTGGGCAGGCTGGCCATTGTTGTTCTGGGCGAGAAGAGCCTGGTGCTGCTGTTCGACGGCCTCGAGATTCTTTGGCAGATAATTGAGAAGTGGGTTCACAGCATTGATCAGGGAGACATGGTAAAGAATGGTGAACACCAAGAAGATAATCATAAGGATCATAGGGCCAGTAGCGGATCTGTCAGAGGCAGTACCAATGGCAAAGAGGCCGATCAAACAGATAATAAGGAGGTAGCAGCCAACGAGGGTCTGTTTGAGGGCACGTGGATAGATCATGCCCTTGGTGTCGATGTCGGTGTCGTTGACGTACAAGACGTTGTAGCGGAAAGAGAGGTAGAAGAGTAACATGCCGACGGTAGCAAATCCAAGAACTAAGGGGGCAATGGCTCCATAAGTGATAGCTGGGTAGATGTTAGTTGAACGAGCCTGGATGAGCTAGGGATACAAGAGAATATTGACGTACCAATGACAACGAGGTTAGTAAGAACAGGCAATATGGTACCCCATCCCATACCAGAAAGGGTAGCCCAACGAGTGTACATCTTGCGAGGAGTGTTGTCCAGAATCATGCCGAGGAGCTTGGAGATGATCAAACCGGCAATCTGAAGAAGAGCGCCAGCGCTAAAAGTCAAGCCCTGAAGAATGATATAGGAGATGTAGAAGTTGGAGGCAGTTGGAATGCTTCGAGCGAGCAAGCCAGGGGCAGAGGTAGGGTCCTTGATAATATCACTGACAGCACTAGAAGCAGCGGACGACAAGGTGACAACCAAGAAAACCTGAACGACTTGGAATCCAAAGTAGAAGTTCTGAGTGCGCAGCTCGACCGCAGCCTTGGTAGGGCATCCTCCGAGCTTAGCAAGGACTAGTAAAAATGATGTTAGTAAAGGTTGAAAACATGAGTTTCACAATTTCAAGACTTACGCCTAAGAACAATTGGCAGCAGGGCCATGAGAACAGCAAGTAAGATAGTAGGGAGCAATCCAGTGACAACACCAAGAATCACAGGTGGGATTTTGCCGATGAATCTCAGGAATGGAACCTTAGCCATCAAATAGTCGATGTTTGAGATGGCACCAACAGCGGCAACGGGAATAGCCCAGAAGACGATGAGAGCAGTAACGGCAGCGACAGTGGCAGAATAACGGATGATGAGCTCCCACCATTTGATACGCAGGTTAGACCAGATGATGTCACTTGGGTTAATACCAATGTAGCGAGGAGCCATGTGTAGCGGAAGGTTATGAGCCACTAAAGAGAGTTAAGGTTAGTCGTCGTAAAAAAAAATCCTTCGCCCAGGTACCAAAACCTTGAGAGTAGTACATACACATCTGGTAAGCAGCCTGAGCCTCATTTTGGTTGATGAATTCAACGAAAACGGCAGAGATGCGTTTGGCTTGTCCGTTGAGGTGATTACGCTGAAGGTTATCGATATCAGGGGTCAAACGTCCGATTTCCTCACGAGCCCAGTTGATGCTGTCGACCTTCTTGCCAATGATGGGCAGGAGACGGTGGGTTGGTCGCTGGTTTGGCTTAACCCAACGTGCGGCAACGGAGCCAGACTCAGCTTCGCCGATATTCCCATGTGCAGCTGGGTCATCAACTTCGCCTCCTTTCTGGAGAGCCTTGCCTCGAGCAACGTTGGCCATCTTGATGAGCTTGGTCTCGGCACCCTCAAGTAGGAAGGCAGCCTTGTCACGCTCCTCGACAAGTTTCTCAAGCTCCTTGACATCAGTGACGAGCCAGACATTCTTGACCTTGTCGTTTCCGTACATGGCACGAATCTTAGCCTCGTCGCAGTAGTCCTCCGGCACCGAGGTGAAGAGAACAGTCTTGGAGGAGATGCGCTCCGCATACAGCGGAGACATGAAGTAAGCCTGTCGCAGGTTGATAAAGTAAAGCAGTTCACGAGTAACCATCCAGAATACGAATCCTATCCATCCATTGTTAGTTTACTTTTTATATTTCCCAGCTCTATGACTTTGCAGGACTGTAAAACTTACCGACGAAAGCCCAAGCCACGAAGCAATGGGCAAAGTATCTGTACAGATTGCCAGGACGCTTGGCGTTCACGTTGCCAATGGCAAGCATATCAAGCTGCTGACGGCCGCCATGACCGGTGATGTTGACTGGGAAAAGCACGGGCCAGGTGATAAGACATCCAAAGAAGCAGAGAGCCGTTGCGATCTTGAGGTAGCGCAGCAGGAGGTAGGCATCCATAGACTGATGGCGCAGGACGTAGGTATCTGGCAGGCTCCACATGGAGCTGACCCAGCCAAAGAGGCCGGGCTTTGGTGCGGGAGTGCGCTCATGCTGGCGCAGAGCTCCGATGTATGTTCTGGGAACGTACTGACGACGCTGGCTCTGGCGCAAGATCAAAAAGAGCACCACCATGATAGCAGAGATGATGGCGGTGGGCACGAGGGTCGAAAGAAACCCCGACAGCGAGTTGGATGCATCGCTGGGCTTCTCTGGCTCTTCCTATAGACGCTCTGTTAGCTCCATCTGCAAGTCGTTGCGAGGGTATTGCCAGGCTCAGGGCAACGGGGAGGGAGAGGAGACGAACGCGCTTTGCGAAGACATTGAGAGCGTCCATTGCGGCGAGGACCTAGACGACACTCGAGCGAGCGAGTGGTGGGAGAGAGAACGGCAAGCAGTGCTTCTTCTCCAGTGTCGATGCGATGGTCGACGTTCGGTGGGTGTTGGGAGTCGAGCGAGGTCGAGTTGAGGTCGAGAGAGAAAGAGGAGGAGGAGGAGGAGCAGAAAGAGGCGAGGCGGCGGCAGAAGAGAAAAAGGAGGGCGGTCGCAGTTTGGGCCATCCTGGATCTTGCGTAGCTTCCTAGTTTGGGACTAGTGAGGGAGCTGCAGTCATGCTTTCCTGTTTCGGACGAGCTCCCCGATTTACTTTTTTTTTGCTTTTTTTCGGTTTATTTATTTGTTGATTTTCCTGCAACGCCAGCAAGCAGCGAGAAGACGCCGGGTGACGCTGCTGCTGCTGCTGCCGCCGACATACTCCTCCGTACTTCTATACTCATATACAAAGCACATACAGTCACCCCTACAACAATTGTTCTGCGATTGCTGCCCGCCCACCGCACGCAGGGCTGAGTGTCACGGCGCTGGTCTGCGCTGTCCATGTCCAGCATCCCGTGTCGAGCATGCAAGATCGCGTTCTTCAGGGAGGGCGCTAGTCCCGATCTGGCAGGCTGTGGCAAATTATGGCGGGCCAGGGGATGCTGAGGTAAGCAGTCACCAGCCACAGCCCACAGGGGCCTTCCCTGCTATGCCGCGGCGATGGTGACGTGATGCGCAGTGACTTGCCTGTCACACCGGATTTGGGTGGGCGGCAGAAGTACCGCTGCATAGCTGCCGCATGTCTGCTGCATCGCGCCAGGCGCTGCCTCTTACGTCATCTTGAAACACGTTGAAACGACGTGGACATGCCCATAGCAGCAATAATAATATAACATTCACAATGCATCCGGGGGGCGCCAGCAGCAGACGAGTGATGCTCATTATTATTATTATTATTATTATTCAGTTTTATATTCTCGTTCAAGCTGCGCTCAGGATGTCGTCCCCCGGTTGCCGCCACAGCGCATCGGGAAACGCCGCAGTGTCTCTCCCAGCGCAATCCACGGCCACTTGCTTGCCAGATCACCTCCGCCCTTAGCATCTCCGTGCGCAGATCTTCGTCCCAGCCTTTCCAGCAGCACCCACAAGTACTCTGTAGCATCGGCAGAGACGAGACTGGCTGTTCCTAGTCATGACTCTATAACTTCCTCTACGGAGACCTTTGGTTGTGCGTCGTCGATGAGCCAGCCAACCCACACTGTTTTAAGCAGGAGCCGCATTAGTGACGGTGGACAGAGAAGCCAGGCCCAGCGTTGACCGGACAACGTATCTATCTCCGCTCGTGCAGCGGGATCTGGAAGCGAGCCCGCCCTGATGGCCAAATGGAGGTGAGACGGGCTGCTTGTTGTCAGAATTGTGAAAACGTCAGGGAAGTTCCCTCTTCTTCCAATCTCCCTCGTCCTGCTGGCTTGTCGGATCGGAATGATAGCGGTCAACCTCGAAGCATCTCCGCGTCCCTCGTCCGGAAAGGGCAGCAAGCCGCTCGCCCTGCTTGGTCCTTGGTGAACCGGACATGGTGAGTACATGCATATGGATTGTTTTCCATTCCTATTTCCTCTCTTATGGCTTCCTTGACCCTCCTTGCAGGGGAAGGTCATGCTATACCGCTCTTCTTGCGCCGACAACCACGTATTGGCGATGATAATATACCCATTGTGCCGGTCTCCATATCTCTCCTTCTCTCATTTTCTCTCTCTCTCTCGGTTTCTATCAGTGGCCTCCATGTTACTGTAGCAAAGACCTGCAAGGCCGGCTTTCTTCTCCTTATACCCGGATACATATATGCATTACTCCGTATATCCAACGCTATGCATGGGTACGGTGCACCACAGCATGGAATGCTGCCTGTCCTAGCTTATATACTGGAATGGAATACAGTCGTCTTCATGTGCCAGGCTTGACTTGGCCAATGCGACAGCCTCCACGTTTACATGTCTGTGGAATTCTGCGCTTATGACACTGAACTAGAACTCTTTTGAACGGAAATATCAAGACTCTAGGGATTTACTTCCCACTCAACATAATCAACGGTACTTTATTATATCTGTTGTTGTTTTGTACGGTTTTAAGCAAGGAGATGAGGAACTGTATATATGTATAGTATTAGAAAAAATCAAATATCTCCTGCCTGATTTCGTATATGTCCGGGATTCTCAGTTTCAACACGTTTATTATTGGGAGCTGCGTTTCCATATTCAGTTTAACGTCTGAGACGAGATAGACGATCAGCCAGTCAATCATTCCAACCATTAATTCAAGCAGCCAGCCAGAGGAAGGCTGGCTCTGTAACCCATGTTTACACCTCTCAAGCGCCAGGGCAGCAGGGCGGGATAGTTTTTGCTTAAGACCAGCTGTTCAACCGGCTGTTCGACCAGTAATTGGCCAATAGTGTGATTATATTCGGCCTGCCGGATATCAGAAAGAAAAGTAGGGGTAGGGAAATTCCAGGTGCATGGTCTCGGTTCGTCCAACAACTAGCTGCCGATCCCTTGCTGTGGTTATCGGCTTGCCTGGCTCGTATTCTGGAGCTTGGATGAGATGCATCACCAGCAGTCTGCTACCTCGCATGAACAGTCCTATCATAGTTAACAAGCATTTCCTTGATTTGGGGTCAATTAGAGATGCTCGTGCTGAGTACAGAGTACACCAAGTTGTCATGCAACGTCAACTTGAAGGGGCTTGACAGATGCTGGACTCGTTCTCTAGCTGCCAGTGTATCATTTCTGCCCTAGTTTGTTAGCAATGTGACTTGCCATTCAGCGCTGTTCAGGAAAAGGGGGGGGGAAGAAAGAAACAAGTATTTCAGGTGATGTTGGATGAAAGCGAGCTCCAATAGGGAGCCTGGAGAGCAGCAAGGTCGCACAGGCTGTCGATGTTTTGCAAGTTACGGCAAACTTTACGGGAAAAGCTCCGTAACTTAAGTTGTGGATGCAAGGTAGGTAGGTAGCTTCCTTTGTCTGAAGGCCCTCTGGATACTCCGTACTCTTCATTGACTTTGAATTACCCCATCTCCCAAGCTGCCACATATTCAACACGGGCGATGGAGTCTTCGGGGCCTGCAAGGTGTGGCTGGTTATTTGAACGAGACTGCTAGGTTGGCTAGTTAACCAACTCGGCGGGTGATCGATCCACCACTGAAAATCACGGCCATCCTCTCGTGTGACGAACAACGAACCCACGCAAATTCTCCTACAAAATGGTATGGATACTTCATAGAATAATGCTTTCGCAACTGCCAGTTTCTCATGCTCGCCTGTGTTATGGCTATTATATTATAATAAAAATGGATCAGATGAAGCTGATTGTGATCTTCAGAACTGGAGGCGCAATGGCCGTTCAAGCCGTGTGATACCCGGGCCAGTCCTGAACGACTATCTTAGTGAAATATGGATATTCAGGCCGATATGCAATGTACACCTTGCTTGCTTCTCCTGACATAACTGCCCCTGCATACGCACTGTGATACGGAGTATATATATTCCTTTCTGTGACCGTTAAGCTCGATACCCTCAAGCAGACACGGTTAAATTAGATAATCGAAGAGGAGGATATGGAGCTCGTGTCTCTTCGATGTTGATATTGTGGCATCTCTCGCCTTGACGGTTGAGTTAAGATTATTCTCGATTCGTCTCCGTCGATATCCATCTCATCGTGTCCATCAATGTCGCCGGCGTTTTCCTGTGCTGGTCTCCCAACTTGAATTCCCATGTTCTGTTCACTGGAAAATTCTTCATTGTCAATGGGAGCTTCCGCCTCCCCAGGTGCACTGTTTTCCTTATCATCGCTTGCAGTACTATCGAAATACACGTCCGTGACTCCTTGAGGTGGAACTACCCATTCCGGATCCTGGTAGATTAAGAACGGCCTCGAAGCACGACAACTGTATGCCGATACTGTGTTCCTATTTCTAACACTCTCTCTGGGTGAACCGGTCCTTGAGTCAACAGTAGAGACGTGATTTTCATCATTGCTAGCCTCATATGAATCCAGAGGCCTTCGTGGGCTTCTTCTAGTTGTACTATAATATTTGGACGGTATTGTCCAGCCAACAGGCCCCAAGTACGGTGACCTATACTCTGACCGCAGCCGGAAGAAACCTGGTGAAGATACCCGCGTATTTATATCCTTGTCATAAAGAATATTATTCTCCCAATGTGCCGTGTAGCTTTCTGCCTCTGATATATAACGGTGATGAGAGTACTGCTGGTCAGCTTTGTTAGTATACCGAGGAGACGGAGTCTGTGGTTGACTATGGTTGTCGAACCTCTCCTGGCATAGCTGAGGGGATTTCTTTATGGGATCCATGTCATCAGCCCCCCTTAAGTCTCCATAACATGACTCTAGTGGAAATCTGAATTCGGGATTTGGGGATAGATGGCCGAGTCTCGTCGATAAAAGGGGCTCAGTATTGCTTTCCAGTACCGGTATACTCCCCCAATTTCCTCTCTGGTGTATCTGCGGTATTAGAGCTCTGTATTAATACTAGAGGAGAAGCAATGCTAACCTCTTGATTGTCGGAGTTGTCATCTATCTCCTCCCAGCTGCCTTTCAGTTGGCGCTTTTTCTGTTCTGATGCTCGCGCCTGTCCTCAATAACGGGCCAACGTTATTAGTTACTTTGTATATGCTATGAACGATATCCCTTGAGACGCAAAGAATACGTACCTGCTCTTCTATATCCAGAGCCATCTCGAACTCCACAGGTCCAAGTTCTGGCTCTAGAGTGAATCTATCAAACCCTCTCCGATAGGAAATTGGTTGAGTCATTGCAACAATTCTTCTGAATGAGCTATTGGTTTGCAGAAAGTAATGTTTGCCGTCCTTCTTGGAGTCTGGAAGGCAAGTCAGCTGTTTCAATGCTTCGCGTGCAAAGAGATCCGCCTCTAGTCAATCCCACACGTCACCGCCGGTGTACGTCCAAGAGATAGTATACCCTGCTTAAGTACAAACGGAGATATATTTGATGTTGCAGAGCATTTAGTGAAGTGGATGATTGTTGGTACGCCTGAACCAAACGAGGGGTTGAAGTCGACTGTTGGTGGTGGTTGTAGAAGAAAGAGCGCGTCACCTGGCGTGATGCCGGCTACTCTCACCTTACCCATGGGCACTGTGGAATATGCCTTTGATAGTGCACTGGGTATCTCACCCTATATCAATACATTCTGAATAGAAATTTGCTACCTTTAGTGAGGATGTTGAAATCGGTATACTATATACTATACCTTGAGATCCATGTATACCCAAAGGCTAGTTAACTCAAAACTAAGAAGTGAATGGAAGTATTACAACCGGCGGACTTAATATCTATCTGCTCCAGAAACTATGCCGTAGGCCTGGCCTTCCTTCCCAAGGAACCCCTGAATATCCGCTGCCAAAACGTCTGGAACCTCCCAGGCAGCAAAATGGCCACCTTTATCAAATTCGGATTCTCTCACTACATCCCCAATAGAACGGCACCATAGCATAGGAAATGCAAGAATCTCACGAGGGAAATGTGCAATAGCGAATTTCACATCAGGAGAATAGCAGCTGGCTACCTCTTGACTAGAAAGGTTTCCGGGTCCAGGAGGAGCATTGTTGAATTCGTAGTAGATTCGAGTTGATGCAGCAGGCCCTGCACGAGAGAAGAGGTATATTGAAACCCATGTCAAGACTTCGTCTTCCGTCCAAGAATAAGAGTCTGTCCAGGAATGTAATTTCTCGTATATCCAAGCTAACAGGCCTACAGGGCTGTCATGGAGACTATACCCGAGCGTTTGAGGACGAGAGCCTTGTTGAGCCATATACCCGTTTCCCTCCGTGGCATAGTTCTTGGATACAGCGAGTTTGGCCAGGTCCTTGCGCGAGAAGGGAATTGTAAGAAGGGACTTGAGAAAGAGTATTGGGCTTTTCCATGGATACGGGAGGGAAAGGATAACAAAATTGACATGTACTGCTCTCACGTGTGAAGGATAACGCTTCGCCATGATACGAGAGATGACACCACCCCAGTCTCCTCCTTGCACCACTATATGGCAGAGAAGAATATAAGCTTGTACTCTTGAGGCAATAATCTTATTAGTAGGGGTATCCTACCATATTCCTCATACCCCAATGTTGTCATCACCGCATTCATGGCTTCCGCGTACTGCGCAAGACCGAATCCTCTCTATTTGGCCATTAGAGGGAAATTCTAGAGCCCTAACAGCCAAGTTAAGGGGGTAATACCTTCTTAACTCCCTCCGAGAAACCAAAGTTGGGGAGAGATGGTGCCACTACGTGGAAGGCAGGGTGGCTCTCACTTCCAGCTGTCAACAGAGGCAACAGCTTTGAGACTTCAAGGAAACTTCCTGGCCCTAGAAATGTATTAGTTTGCGCTTGGAAAGACGTGAGCTGTATATCTGGGAACCTGCAGCCATGGAGAAATAGTAGAGGAATTGCACCGGCTACATCGCTTCTGTGGTGAACAAAGTGTATATTCAGCTTGTCGAATCCTTCTACCTCAACATCGGTCGTAAAGTGAGACATCTGCTCATTAAGCCATCTCTCTTTTTCGCGCCAGTCGAACTTCTCCTTCCAGTACTCTGTTAGGCGCTTTATATCATCCAACGGTGCGCCTAAGTCCCATTTGGACTCTTCTAGTTCGTCTGGAAAGGTCGTAACTTCGAGCTTCTTGCGCAATATTTCAAGCTGTGAATCAGGAACGGAGATCTTGAACGGCTTAACAGAGCTCATTTTCGGGGTATAGCTGGGAATTCCAATTGACTAAGTATTCAATATTGGCATTGAATTCCTGATCTCGGAATTCGATGGAGAAAGCGGTCGTCAGCTCTGGAGGAGCTGAAGGCCAGGCGCCAAGGAAGGATGTTAAACCTCGGCTCGCTCCGGCGGGTAACTAACCAAACCTACCAGAAACCAGCCTGAAGTCATCATCAACGACAACTGGTCGGTCAAGAATAATTACGTTAGGTGGTTAGCTATAGGGTAAAGTAGAAGGGACAATACGCTGAGGATATCACCATAAAGGAGTTACATCATCTACTGTACAACAGCATAAAAGTAGCTGAGCCGCCACCCACGCTCTCTCGCATATAGCCATATTTACCTTACCCCTACTCCGTACACCTAAGCAGTACTCCGCACTGACAGGTTGCGCTGATATTGTCACCGAAACTAGAGCAGAAATACGGGGAAGTTCGAGCTGCACACGGCAGATGCTGTCGAATGACCTACACCCTACGAGTGAAGCGACGCTACCGTTCTGGACAGGCCCAGAAACAAAATAAGGGAGAGGTTGGTCTTGGTGCGTACTTGAGTCAAGGCGTGACTACTCCGTCGTTACTCCGTGCATATCTCCGGCCGGTTTTTGATATTAGAGTGCCTGAGAAGAGCTAGAAAACCAAAGAAGTGGTTTAATAGGTTGGCGGACTCATCTCTGTCCTGCTAAGGGAACGGATAGAGCCGTCTGCAAAGCACATGTTAACGGTAATGTATGATTGTTCCGCTTGGTATTGGCCGAAATATTCTGGGCTTTTCAGGCTCGAGCAGCTTTCACGCTGTCGGCCATATCTTCCAGGGAGAATCACTCTATAGACATGGAGGGATTAGAGGTCAGATTGGTCGATAGAGATATCACAGAAGTCGAAAAAGTGGTCAGAATTCCCGGTATAGTCTGCTATTTAAACCTGGTCAATACAGATGGCTTGAGGTTGAGTTTCTCGCAAGGCTATCTGTCTGTCATCTTGCAGGTGGAAATGCGCAAGCCACTCTCTATATGAAACAGCCCTCATCCAGAGATTATCAGCTGAGAGCCCTCGGGTCGCAATCAAAGGCCATGGCTTGTCGTCTGAAGCCATTGCGTCCTCCGTGCCATGCATGGCGTCGATGGGATGTGCGTCTGTTTTGTCCATCTGTCGCATCTCCAACCGCTACAAATGACTAAGCTATATCACGTGAAAGTCTCCGGTTCTTCGCGAAATCGAGAGAAAAAAAGGACGAAGTTTGAGATCTCGACGACGATTCGAGACACGACGCTGCGTTGTTCCACCTTCGATCGTGAGATGCATCAGTATCCCTGCCCCTTGCGCGGAGAGCGATAGATGAACCGGGGTCATCCACACACTTATTTTGCAGCTCGTCATCCAGGACCTGTGGAGTAGTCGACACATCCAAAAAGTGCTGGCTGACAGCCTGCCACCATGTCTATCTGGGCCAATACAGCCCCGGCACCGCAATCGATTGCCACGAAGGAAGGACAAAAATGGGAGAACCGCAGAAAAGAACCAAATTGTATACAATTATTGTCTGCATCAGGCTCGCCTAGCTTGCTGCACCGTTAGCTTTGATCGACGATATCGCTTCTTGCAGTCGACCCTTTAACCGCCCATTTGTTAATTCAGACAGGCATTACGTATGAAGGCACTATTGGCAATGCCAGCGTATCTGCAGGTTTCGAAGTGTAAAGGGGTTGGAAAAACTCTTGGTGTCTAATTTTCACGTTCATATGGAGGGCTTGTCTGCGTGGTGGCTCTTCGACAGATATTGACTGGGTGATTGACTGACTGAACTCAATCTGGCAACTGAAATGAGCGTCAAAGATGCATCAACTTGGCGAGAACAGCTCATCCAGTATAGACAAGGGAGCGGGTATGATGACACAAGACATGGCTCTGACGAGGAAGCTTACTATAACATATCGCAGGCTGTAACCCTGCCCCGGGTGATTTTCCATTCCTGTTTGAGTGGCGTTTAGATTGCGGACAACTTGAAGTAACTTATAAGTCATGCCAACCACACTAAAGATGAGTTGCAGGGAGAAACTGCGTTTGTATCAATATTAATCAAACAATCCACTGAAGCCAACTAATGGGGACAGACTCCAAAGCATATAAGTTTCTGGTTCGCACCCGCGTCTTCTTTAGGTTAAGAGTTTCGATACTGCAGTCGTGAAGTAAACTGGCAGATAGGACGGATGGGGATTGACAAGCAGAAACGGAGGGATAGCCCAGCAACAATCTGATGATGTCTCGCGATCCCATCCTACCAGAAGCTCTCCGGGAAAATACTTATGCAACCACAGTGAGCTAAAGTCTGCATTGGACAGCCTAAATCACCTGTCTGCTTGCGTCTCTGCGTGCACCCCCATCTCCATTCTGGACCATTCATCCCTCAGCGAGGGAGGGGAGCGGACTGCACTCCATACATACCTGCGGTCTTGCCCAATTCGAGCATGCCGTCCAAGGGAATCAATGTCATCATTTTCCCTATCAAGACAATCTCGCCTGTTTTCCCTGTCATTGTCTATACTTAATTTGCTGCTATGGATGTTAACATCTCTTGTGCCGCTGTGGCATGGGCAAGGGTGAACACAACATCGTATATGTACCTGTACCTCCTTACTTGCATATATTTACATGAGGAGAACAGACGGGATATACATCAGCTGAACAAGGCCTCGGATGGCCCGACAGCTCACTTTTTCTTATTTTCTTTTCCTCCTGTGCGTTTTTGCCTGCACTGCGGGAGAAGACAAGACTACTAAATTACCAAGTGAAATTATTACTAACTATAATACGATTAGCAAAAGGGTATACTTTCCCTTCAAGTAGCCTTTCCATCAAATGATCTGCCACTTCCCGTTCGCCTGATTTTCGCCTTTTTGCTGGAGCCAAACGCAGGTAATAATAACGAAGGATCCGTATGGAGGGAGGATCATCCACACCCTTCTCCTTGACAGGGCGTTACTGAGCTGCATAAGTTAATACAGTCACCATGTCGTTAGCAAACCAGCTATCAGTCAATGACGATTATATCACTAGGCGATCGGGGATGGAATCGGCTTGATACATACATGTACCCGGCACCCTATATCAAGTGCTTATTATGCACATAATCTATCATCTAGCTTTTTCCTCTGCTATTTCAGCAAAAGCCAACAAACAACAGCGTTGAAGCCTGTCAGAACTGCAGGGATAGCCTCGTTTCATGAATACGAACCGATGGGGGGGAAGGCGGATTGCCAACAGTTTGTGCAGAGAACAGGGAGAACAAGCTGTCCTCTTCAACACCCAGACAAGAAAAGGCAGGCAGATAGAGAGGGATGGAGGGAGGGAGTGAGAAGGGGGCGAGGATGACACACCTGAATTCGTACCACTGTAACTACCAACCGGCCGCTGCATGCCCCCAAGATGTCAATTTGTTCTTCTTTATTGATGGGAAAGCCCGCGAAGTCCGCACAGAAGGTTAAACAAGAGGCTTCGTGGTGAAGAGATGTCTTGGTTTGATAGTAATGGGCTCCCGTACGAGGTTGGACTGACTTTGCGAATGCTTAGGGTGGCATATCATCATTAAAAAAAAAAAAAAAAAACAGAAAATGAGAAAAAGAAAGGAAAGGGAAAAATAAACAGGAGGCTAGTGATGTATGATATCTGTGGTATTCATTTTTTTAAGAAGAAAAAAACATTAATAGAGCAAAAAATAGTATGAATTCCCCCCATTTTAGAGACTCCATGCTAAGTATCCATGTCCCAGTGCTGATGATGGTAAAAGGAAATGAAATGACAGGCTAAAACAACAGACAAATGAAGAGCAGAGGAAAAGAAGGAGAATGCAACGCTATCATCACCGTAACCGTGGTTGGCTTCCTTTTAAATTTTGCTACAGAAAGGTATCAGGCAAAGGACAAGGAGCAAAAATTAGATAATAGGAAATTTGGAGGTAGTTAGTTAGAACAGAGCAGCGTCGCTGGGTTAAATGCAAAGTAAAAACGCCGTTTTATGCGGGAGGTAAATGAAAAACGAAGGTAGAGAAGGTTGTGACAGTGAGCCCCGCGGAAGTTTCGAGGAGCATAGATGCACTCTGCGTTCTGTGACTTCGAATCAACTGGCATGGGCTTGCAGTTGTTGCTGGTGTTGCCAATACCAAGCAGGCAAACAACACATACCTGCAGAGTGTGGAACCTTTGGTACAGCCTGGCTCACCGAGTTCATGCACTGTAGGTGACGAGTTCGCAGAAGTTGAGAAAGAAGAGTTCCAATACATTTCAAATTCCGATGTAGCTGCTCACCGGCTCACGGTCAAGGGTAAATAAATTACGCTTTGAACCTCCGTCGTCGAAATGCGGCTAGGTCGATGGATATAGATGATGTCGACGACCCGTCGTCCACCTCGATAGCCCCCATCATCTCCGGCGGCGCGTTTGCATCTCCGTTCACATTCATGTCCATCTTCATCTTCACAGGTTGGAGGGCGTCGGCTTGCATGTGTGCGTCTGAATCTGCATGTCCAACCGTTTCAACGGCCGTGCGGTCACTTTTGCTTTCCTGTTCCTCCTCTTCAGCTTGCTGGCGTAGCTTCTCCGCTTCCTTCTCAGCCTTGAGTCGGGTCCCTTCGGCCTGGGCCATTTCCAGCGCGGCATTAAGTCGCTCTACTGTCTTGCTTAGCTCTCTGGAGCAGTCTCCGTTTCGTAGGAATTGGTGCGCTGCCGTCTCGCATAAACTCTGGGCAGCCTCTAGCTGTTTGTCTGTCGTGTCAAAGGCGGAAGCGTTCTGTTTTGCAAGTGTCGTACTTTTAGTAATTGTTCCGTTGGTTCCAGGTTTTGGATCAAATTGTGTACTTCGAGACCTCCTAAAGGATCGATGATGAGGTAAGGTGAGGGTGTTTTCGTCATCGTCTGGGCTGCCGGCTGGAAATAAGTGAGACGGGAGAGCTCGACGGCTGAAGTCGACTTTCATCATGTAGTTCATGCGTTCTTTTCGGATCTGGTTGCGGGCACCACCTATGTCACGAACAAGTCGTTCAAGCACTGTCTGTGTCTGAGAATCATAGTGTATAACAACCTGTTGGCGAACACGACGGGCTAGACCGCTGTCAGCGTCCGAAGGTGTAGAAGGAGTGCTGTCCTGCTGTTTTCGTTTCCTGTTTATGGCGTCTTGGTTATTCTGACGTGTGAGTCGTTTGAATATCAAGGGATCCCGGAACGGATCCTGTGCGTCGAGGTGTCTGTAGGTTGAGCCGGAGGAAGGTTTGTTTCTCGAGTTTACTGAGCGCTGGTCATCTTCTCCTTTATTTGTATTGAGGGAGCTGTTTCGCCGTCTTCGCTGTCGGGGCTTCAACTTGGATATACGGGTGTATTCCGCAGCAAACTCGGCGTGTTTGGCTGCTGTGTGAGAGGCTAGCTCGGTGACTCGAGTCAACCATAAGGGAATGTGTTCGACGAGGTGGGAGAAGCATTGGGCCGGGTCGACAAGAGAACCGTTCATCTTGCTGATGGGCGTGGCCCTTCTTGGTCAAACAGTTTGTTTTCCCTTTCTTCTTCGGGGCGAGATGGGCGAATGGGTGTGTATACTGTGTGTAGGTGAAAGCTCCGCTGGACAACTCGAGCCCTTAAATCAAGAGGAAGAGGGAAGAGACGGAGACCTCGTCGCTGGGAAGCCTCGTAGAACAGGTCGTAAAAGCTACGAATGGCGAAAAACTGGTGCTGGTTTTGCGTAGATTCGGTGTTCAAGCGATGGCCAGCCTTTATGCGCGAGAATGGAGCAGGTTGAAGAAAAGAAACACCCCAGGGAGGCAAACGGGAGTCGGCAGGCCAGCGAAGGAAGTCAAAGGAAAGTGGCCATGCTGCAATTGCCTTCTCGTCTAGTCGAGTGACGGAGAAGCAGAGCAAGAAGGAGAAGTCAAAGAAAAAGGTGGAAGTAGGAGAGAGAGAGGAGTTGAGCAGTCGAAGTCCAAATCGAAGTCGAAATCGAAGGAAGAAGAAAAAAGGCGACGGGGCGGCGGGCGGGAACGACAGGAAGCCAGCAGTAGTGAAGTTAGGTTAGCCAGCTAAACTCAAGTGACAAGCCCCTACCAACCTATATGTCCTTGTCAGTCTACATATGCGCCAACGGCCGGCTTCTATTTGGCTTGTTCATAGCAGTACGAAGCACTTACAGCCAGTTGTAAGGAAGTCGATGCAACATGGAGACAAGGCCTTCTTTACCCTGGCCGCCACAGACGTATATGTATACAGGTCATACAGGTGCGGACTTTAAGTACGGGGATGTACAGGCAGGCAGGCGTTCGACGTTCATGCAACAACTTGTGCGCTCTGCTCCTGTTTCTCTACCCGGTTGGCCGCTTAGGCTCTCATGATGCTTAATGCCAAGTTAGTCCCTCCCTAGGCGTATATCTATAACAACTGAGCCGGTCGTTTGGCAGTAGCATAAATAATCCCGTACGGACTGGCCTCTCAGGCGGAAGGCGAAAAAAAAAAAAAAAAAAGGGTTGGATAACATGATAACTAGTAACAAGGTATGTTAGCTGAGCATAATGTCCGCGTCAGTGGGCAATGTCTTTGTCAATGGCCTCACCTGTGTAGCGTCGCAAAAAGCTCTTTTGCGGCACGTATAATATCGTGCACCCCATTATTATCATCAACTACCCTGGAAGAACAAGCATCACCTGTGCTTGTCGGCTACTCGTTCCCGTCGTGGGATAGGCCGAAGAGCTAGCGGTGGAGACGTCGACCCCGGGATGCCTCGCATAACGGCACAAGAGGTTGTACTCCGTCCTGAGAACTCCGTTCGCTTCTCCGTCCAGAGACCAGATTCGTTGAAAAGGGGTCCCCGCTGCTGTCCCCCGGCATTATTACTTAGTTGAGCAACTATATCGAAAGAAGAATGTCATCTCGAGGGCCCTCTGGCCTCTTTCTTCTTGTCTTCCTTGTTTCCGTCTTCCTTGATCCAAGTCTTTCTCGCCCAAGGCGTAATCTTAGCTCCCTGGCCGTTCTTTTTCAGTTCGCCGCTGGGGCTGTTTCTCTCCACCACCCCCCTATCATCGTCTGTTTCACCATGCAAATCATCCTGCCCCTTTTAATTGATAGCCGCGTGGGCCTTTTACCGCCTCTTCCTTTCTCGTCCTTTCTATGAGGATTCGTTTATTAAGGTTCTTTCTAGATCATCGCCATTGGACTCAGTGTCTTGCAAAACAAACGTAAGCAAAAAAAGCCGTTAGATAAGGGGGAAATATCCCGGCGTGTCTCTTTCTTCGATCCTCGCCCTGTATGCATGACGACAACAACTAGGAAATGGTGTTAATCAGCTAATCAAGGGCATAACCTTCTCTATCCAACTTCTTCCAAGGAACTCAGGAGTTTGTTATGGAGTATAAGGCTCGGCGGGTTTGCTTCCGCTCTTCGACTTGGAGACGAGACCACACTCGGCAGAGGTGCCATTCCTTTTGATGCCGGTGATGTTAAGGAGGTTGTCAGTCTTGATATCTTCGAGCGCCTGTTTGGGGTGGACGTGTCCCAGATCCAGATATCTTATATGGAATGCGGCGGGTTTCGGGGTGGGGAGAGGTGTCTGATGTCCGAGTGTCAGCGTCCTGCAAGCATTGCTCTCCCGTCACCCGGGCCATGGTCAAGCATCAGCTCCTGGAGAAAATCCTTCGTTATGCTGCTGTTGAATACGAGCTTGAACCACAAAACTTCAAAACGCCAACGTCGCGAGATGTTGACTTTTTCCTCTTTCGGAAATCCCCATGCTCTATTATCACGTGAAAGTAAATAGATGACTAAGCTAATACAATGACTAAGCTTCCTTTCGCTTATATCAAAGACGAAAAGGAAGGAGAGAAGGCAGGCAGATAAAGGAGGGAGAGAAAGAGGGGGCCAAAGCCATCGTGTCAGTCGCTTTTTTACACTTTATACTTGCTTGGCTATACGCTGCGTTTCTCTGTCAATGGCTTTCTATGCCGGATGCCTTCATATGTGCAGGCTAGCGCAATCTCATAATCAACATGAATCGAACCCCCATCATTATCACTGCCTGATATCACTGCCTCAAGAGAGAATAAAACACCAGGATAAGTAGGAGAAAAATAAAAGCGAAATCAAAAAGCACGAAACCAAATATCATACACCTCCCTGTGGCCCAGTTTAAATCACCGGCATTCTAGTTTGGCTCTCCCTTTTTGCTGATGGTGATTCTGTCTTTGTGTTTGCGGGAGAAACGGATGAGATATCAAACACACTCTTCTTGAGCGGTTGGCTCTGGTGGCTGCAGTGGCTGTGGTGGTTGATCTTGTTGCTCTAATGGATCCAATCTCTCTGGTTGCTCTGGTCCCTCTACCTGCTGCTCTGGTAGTGGCTGTTTGCCGAGAGAGTTGCCTCTTCTGACATGTTCGAGCCAGCTGCGCAGATGGTCACGGACGGCATCCAGGGCCTTGTTGGCTTCATTGACCTTCTCATTCGCTATGACCTCGAGTTTCAGCAGTTCTCTCTTGTACACGGTGTCCAGAGACTCCTTGATGGCGTGATTCATGCTCTCATCGGAACAGCCGGGTTCTTCTGCGGGATCGTCGACAATAATGACTTCTGCTGGATAAAATAGGAAAAAAAAAAAAGAAAGATATCAATTAGCACATCTGCTTTGTTTGAATCTGTTGGGTCATTAATGGCAAGGAAATAAAGCGGATGAGCTTACCTTGTTCTTCCTCCCTGCTTGTAGGGCCCTTGTTGCTTTCACTCTCTTTCTTGTCTTCACTGATCTCTTCGCATTTTCTCTTTCTCCCTCTCTTGCGGCAGTGGGCTTCCGCTGGAAATTCGGGACAAGTTAGAATATGCTCACTCTCTTTTCAATACCTAGTTTGATTCTTCTATGAAGAAATGATGGGCCAACTTACGATCAGTGGCATCGACAACCCTGCGGTGCTCGCAGCGCTTCCTCTTCTGACGGCAGGAATCGCAGACCCTTGTCAACCGTTTACCCGCCTGTAAATGCGGGTTCGGTGGTTGGAATCGCTTCTATCAAAATGAAGATTCCATATTAGCTGATTTCTCTACCTTTTTTTTTTTTTTTTTTTTTTATGAAAATGCCATTGTATGAACATAGAAAAGAGTAAGGGAGAGACTTACTTTGGTACCCTTCATCCATTCCTTCCAGTGTTTCGGGGCCATGTCAGCGAATATCACACGTAGCAAGTATACTACGCAAAGGGAGGGTCATGGCTATCTACTTACGCGATTGGCCTGTGCGAGGTGGTAGCAGTCGTCACAGACAGGGGAGTTGTATAACGTCCCCGTCGCCTCTGCGGCCCAGCATCTTGAGCAGACGTTGCTGCGCGCGGTCCCTTCCTCTGACTTGGCTGACTGAGAGTCATCCTCTGCCTCAGCCGTGGCAGCAGGATAGCCCTTGACGGGCTCGCACTCCTCGGCCCCGCGGCCGGAGGAGGCGCTCTCAGTATCAGAGTCCGTTTCCAGGGCTCTCTTGTCACCCTCCTTGCGGAGGGTCTCTCTGCATGGGTAGCAGAGACCTGTCTTGCCATGAATGGCCCTTTTGTTGCAGAATCGCCCGCAGTACGAGCAGCGGGAGACCATCTCCTCGGCTTCAGACTCCTCACTATATTCCCATGTTATTGAGTGTCCCATCTTGAGAGAAAGAGAGAGAGAGAGAGGATAGTGCGTGTCTTTTCGTGTAATAGAGTATATCTCCTTGCTCTGGATGCAGGCTTCAACTCTGCCGACCTGAGATATATATCTCAACGCGTAGCTGGAGACCTGAGCAGGGCAAGGAGTTAGACGGCTTACCTGGGAGTCCGGCACTTCTTTTTCCTATATTTATTTTTAGCTATATCCAGCTAATGGATATAAAAAAGGCATAATGAATACTGCTTGCCCGGGAGCAGCGGAGGGAGATGTCAAGCAGGGACAGAAAGGAAGAAGGAAAAGAAGAAGAAAAGAAAACAAAAGGAGGAAAAAAGTCTTTGAGCAGAAAGTGCACTTCTTGCGGGCGTGAAAGGAGAAGTCAAAAACTTACGCTGGTGGGAGGATAGACGATAGACGATAGCAGCAGACTGTCCTAAAGAGACAGTCCAAACGATGCTGGTCTGGCAGAGTAGACAAAGGCCTTGTTACTCTTTTGTCAAGCTTGCTTCACAGACAGACTGGTAGATAGGAGAGGTAGCAGGCGGGTGTGAACTTGCTCTCTGCTTCTGCTCTGGCTCTCTTCTTTCAGAATGCTGGTTGCTAGAAGTAGATGCAATATCAAAGCCTGCTTGCTGGACAAGACAATCAAATGCTGCGTTGATTCCCAGGTTGTAGGCTGTGATCTGGACTGAAAGACTGCTCAGAGAGGAGAAGAGAGGAAGAGTTGGAGGAGGAGGAGGAAGAAGAAGAAGAAGAAGATATCTGTGTGAAGGAGGCTGGGCATTAAGCGAGCTGTGTTGCTGTGTTGTTGCTATGCTGACATGTCCTAAAGGGGAAAACAAGACTCTAAAGAGCAGGACATGTAGATATTGGTCATTGACCAGGTACAGTTGATTGTCCTGCTGGTGCTAACACGGCAGATTGATAGAGCTTGGTCAATGGAGAGAATAGCATATTTTACTCAGGACAGATACATAGTTTACTATATCTCAAGGGCACAAGGGGGTTAGATCAAGGCCATAGCTGCTCTTCCTCCCAGCGCCATGTGTATTGGCTATCTGACGGCACCAACTTCCACCTGGATCTCTCGTTCCTTATATTTCCAGGGCCCTCGTCATGGATATATTCCACCTCTTCTGGCTTGATAACCACAACCCTGAAGTTCTTCCTCGCCACGGGGTCAGTCAGATCGACGAGCCCCTTTCCGCCATTCTGTAGCTCTGGTGCCGGCCCTGACTTTGGTGAGCCGGGAAGAGCTTGTCTGAATGTATCTATCACACTGTTAGCCAAGCCAATATACAGCTTTGCCTCTTTATTATAAACGTACCTCTCATGCCAGGAGACAGGTTGGCAAACTGAGTGGTCATCTCCTTTTCCCAACTCCACGGCTTGTCCGTGTCCTCTCTTAGCCGCAGATATTGTTCAACTTCCTGTCTGGCCTTCAGCTCCATCGTATCAGAGCAACTTCCGCCCACAACATATGCCTTCCCCTTTATTCTCCACTGTGCAAAGGCCTTGGGTGACCAAAAGAGACATTCCACCGGTCCGCCAACTTCGTTACCAGATAGGATATGTTTGACTTTCTCGGATCGAGCATCAGTGGTAATACTCAATAGGTCACTTTCATACTTCCTCGGATTCAGATACGAGGCATCTTCGTCGTCACTTTCTTCCTTAACCGAACGTCCTGAAGTCAACTTCAGGTCATGCTTTGCATTGGGATGTAGCTGCAGGCCAGCAAAGAAGCCCCGGAGAACACAGGTCCTTACTCGAGGGAACGAATTGCCGTTTTTGTCCCTGGATACAGTTGCAAATGATAGTAGTGGGCTACCTGCAGCTTGAACATGCTCTTCGAATAGGGGGCGCCATGGTGCCGACTCCATTGTGTCTGATATAATAATTCAACGTCTGTAACTGTCCTTTGGCAGGTATATAACTAGCTACCTATATGCCAAAAAGATACGTCATACAGTTTTTATATTGTGGTTATAATGTGGTATCTTTTCCGGAGTTCCCCTGCCTTTACCGGGGTTTTGAGCGGCTGCGAGTGGGTATAATTTCAGTCCACTTGACTTCCCCGTCCACCCACCGTCCCCGGCCTCTATGAAGCCAGTAAAAACGCAAAAAAAAAAGTGAATCCGTCCCTGGGAAGGCTCGAACTTCCAACCTTACGATGACCGAACGTCTTCTTGTTGAGTTGTTCTTAACAGTCGTACGCGCTAGCCAATTACGCCACAGAGACTTGTTTGTTGGTGTCGGGCCTCCCAAAGGCCACTATCACTGTGTAGGGAACAGAAAAGGTAGCAAATGGCCGAAAGGAGCTTCTTCTTATCGAGTTCAGCTGGTTTGAGGAGGGCAATAAGTCCAGGTGGCTTCAAGGGTCTGGTCTACAGTTACGAGGCAGTCGGTTTTACGAGATGTTGATGATTCCACGGCTGATATCAAAGCGAGCTTCTGCCCTGACTAACTGAGTTGTGCGTTTTTTGTGTGCGATTTAACTGATGACTAAGCAGGGATACTCCTAACACTGAGAGGACAACTTTGCTGATAGGAAGAAGGGGGGAATCCAGACATACTGATACACGGGCAAATAGATGAAAGAGCTTGGTAGTACTAATTGCTACATGCAGGACCATGCATGCCATCCCTGGAACTGCGCGGTGTTCGTGGCATCTCCCGCCCGCCGTCTCGCCGTGCCTGCCCATCTAGATAATGAACACGTGACAGAGAACGTCAACTCTACTTTTTCGAGCTTTCGATAACAAAAAAGCAGCAAAAGTCAAGATATCAACCCTCCGGACGAAGCAGAGGGAGCAGAGCAGAGCCGGCAAAGATGCGTCTCACGGTTGAATTGATCCAGAACTCCCTTTCATATCTCAATCCTCTCAAAGAGCGCGAGCTAGATCTTCGAGGTGCGTAATGACAGAGAAAGCACCCTAGTTAGTCTGAAAAGAACCAGATACTACACTTTTTCTTTCCCATCCTCGGTGAAGCCACACCACATATACATACTCTACATAAATGGAGCTGCGTTGATACTATCGTTATCTCCTTCTGGGGACGGACCATATAGGGCACAAAATTCCCGTTATAGAGAACTTCGGCGCGGCAAAGGTGCGCATCCTGCTACATATCCGCGACACCAATGCAGGACCCTTGAAATCTGACATGTTGGGCAGGACCACGATGCAATCGATTTCACGGACAACAGTATATCTTCGATATCTAACTTTCCCTTCTCGCCTCGATTACGATCTCTCCTTCTCGCCCGCAATCGCGTTTCGCATATTCAACCAACCCTAGCGACCTCACTTCCAAACCTGACAACCCTAGTCCTTACAGCAAACAATTTTGCCGAACTAGCGGACCTAGAGCCGCTCAAGACGTTTCCCAGATTAACGCATTTGAGTCTACTAGAAAACCCAGTGACCAGGAAAGAGGTATATTCCCTCAGCCCTAGGTGTTGGTTACCGGAATTGCTAATGGTGTGTCTTAGCATTACCGATACTGGATCATATGGCTTGCTCCAACGATACGCTTTCTAGACTACCAAAAAGTAAAAGATGTCGAACGTGAAAAGGCAAAGGAACTTTTCGGGCCATCGACGAAACAGCCCACAGCCCTAGCATCGAAGATACTAGGCATAAAGTCCCGCGCGTTCGATGTCTCTGCAGCTCTGGGTGCAGCATCATCTACTTCCTCGCCGGGAGGTGCGGGAAGCGAAAAACCGTTACGAGTCAAGCTGACGCCTGAGGAAAGGAAACGAGTCGAGAAGATGATACGAGAAGCCAAGAGTCTGCAGGAGATCACCAGGTTGGAGAAAGAGCTGAATGAAGGACGGATACCTCGTGGTGCTGCTGATACAGATGGTGATAAGGATGTTGAGATGACCTAATGCAGACTGTTGGTTATTGGTTGGGTTTTTACATGCGGGATGTTAACTTGTGATCTTCTATTCTTCTGAACCGGTGTTCTACAAGGGGCTGTTCTATAAAATACAATCTGGAGCAAGGTCTAATCTCATCCTCAACTGCACTTGTACTCTGCTTCTTTCAATGGATAACAGATGGAGATGCCATGAACTGAAATATTGGTGTTGGAACCGGTTTGTCTAGATATTATAGAAGGTAGATGATATACACATGTAACGTCATGCAAAGGGGGGATATAAATATTGCGCCGCGCGCCAGGAAAGAACCGATTGCACAAACTGAACAACATCTGCAGGAAAACGCCGGGTCATAACACCATTATATTATATACAAGCAATAACTCTGCAACGATGAGCGGTAAAGGACACTGGTATCATTTTTTAAGTATTCGTAATGGGCGTAGAAAGTCGAATAGGGCTGGTGGCACGGGATTTTCGACCGACGGTCGTCGGCGCAAGGGCAGGAGCATATAATCTGTCCCTACTCTCGGTTCTAATAACAAGCCCGCGCCTATCCAGGGAAATATTAAGGCTCGCAACGCTGAGCGAAGACGAATTGTCGAGATTATACTTGGGGCTTTGGCTGTGAGGTATCCGGGCCAGGGGTCGGGTTCCAGCAGCGCCAGAAGGTGGTGATGAGGAAGAAGATCCTTGGGAATCTTCGTCCGAGTCCATGCTGTCGAGCTCAAAGTCTCGATGGTCACCTTCCTCCAACACACGTTCGTAGGAAATTCCGGGGCCTCGACTAGAGAGGAAGGGTATCTTCCCCCTGAAGAAAGGGGATCTTCTTCTCAAGTTGCCTCCGTTGTTACCGCCACGTCCGAATCGCATGCCTAGTTTATGATAGATGCGGGAACGACGTTCCCGGCCAAGAAGGAAAAAGATAACGATTAAAACTATAAGGGCGAAGATAAACAAACCAGGGATACGGCGAGGTGAATCCCCGTCAAATAATGTGTCATGCCAATGCTCGCTTGTCCCGTTTTTATCAGAGTTGCTAGGTGGTGAAGGGATATGAGGTTGGTTCGAGCTTGGATATTCGAAGTCACCCGGGACCTTGCCAGGAGTGTTGCTACCAAACCCGACAGGTAAGCTTGCCTTGGACGCAGGGACTTGAGATGATGCAAATAGGACAGCCTTTCCAAGAGTCCAGCTCACTTCAGTAGCATTGATCTTATCCACAGCTTGGAACGGATCTAGGTAGGTTTTGTCTTGGCCATTTTTGCCGTGGCCCCCGAGTTCTTTAGTAGCGCTGTTAGTGTTGTTGGTGGAAGCTTCGAGTCCAACACGAGGTATACCGATGCCTTCATGGAGGACGTTGATTATCCAGGCCGCCTTGAAACAGACCTCGTAGGCGGTTTCCTGGTCAACCTTACCCCATTTCTTTTGCTCAATACCATCCTTGATAGCGCTCCAGGGCGTTGAGCAAAACTTATTGACACGCATCTGGTAAGTTTTGAAGTCATAAGCCTTGTCCTGGTGGCCCATCTCAAAGATTTCGTGGGTGGTATGCCAATACTCGCTTATGCCGACGAAGTGATTGACATCAAAGTCAATCGCAGGGACGTGTACTCCATTCAACAGACAGGGTTCATCCTCGCACGGAGTGTCTTTGGCAAGCAAGGGGATTGTTTCGCGTAAACACTCCTCAAACTTTCCATTCCCTACCAAGTACGAATTTGTGCCGGGTACTGGGCCATCTGGAGGGAGAATGGTTCCCTCTAGCGTTGTTCGCAGACCGTCAGGAAGACAAGGATCCGGGAGTTTTCTGTTGACCGTGCCGGCAGGCGCTCCTTTCAGAAGAGCTTTTACGTAGCGGGATCTTGCTTGTCGAACACCAAATCCTAGCCAGGATGTAACGAAGACGCCGTACTCATTTGACTGCCCGTTAAGAGTCCTCAGACGCAATAGTGTCAAGTCATTTGCATGCTTTTTAGCCTCCGTGGAATTTGGTGCAAATGCTAACTGTGCAGAAGCACCGCCCATGTCTAGGAAACCGTAGGTGTGATGGCCCTTGCCGTGATCATGGGCCTTTGGCTCATCAAAACCACCTAGAAGATAGTTTGTCGCAATCCAACCGTAGAGTCCCTCCGTTTTTCCATCGATAACTTTTATATGGGCATCACAATCTGGTAAAAGAAACCCAGAGTTGTCACTAATGTAGGAGCATACATTTTTGAGGATCTCTTTCTGTTCGTTGTCTGACAATAACCGCATACCAGCAGTGGCAAGAAGGAATATCGGCGTGTCCTCGACCTCTTTGCGAGGTATTACTGTATGTACATGTTTGAGAAGCTTGTGGAGGTGGTCTGGGCCAACGTTTTCTGGGTTTTTGGCGAAGGACGAAACACCTAGGAACTCAGGTCAGTAAATCAAGCGAGTACGCAATTATGCATGCGCCATGTGCTTCTCATACCCGGTTTTATCTTCTTCGTCCATTCCTTGGTAGTTTCGATATGTGGCAACTTTGCCAGGTCCTTGCTACCAACATCCTTATGTGCCTTCTTGGGCCATCTGTAGATATGTGCTCTCGTTCCCTATTAAATTATGAATCGCATACTCTTAGCTATGAGTTCTCCTTCCAAGTTCCTGGCGTAAACTGGCATTGCGAACGCAGCAAGTAGTACTTACGGACGATCCAGCGTCCAGAACAACTGCATACTTCCCTAAATAAATCGAACCGCGCACCCGTTAGCAACGTTATTCCTGTTAAATGTATAGACCTTTCGAACTGGCAGTTATACATACATCTCCCCATTTCTTGAATTATCAGGTGAATATCAATACAACACTTAATCGCTATAACATCACGACTGTCTCAAAAGAATCGAATAGGCGGGAATCAAAGCCGGTTTAATATAGTGGAGGGAATATTGATGAGACTGGATTTCGCGTTATGCGCATTCATCGGAGGAATATATTAATTATGCGAGTATGGAAATCTGCCGGCTGTCCTCGAGGAAAGCTGAAACAGGATCTGCGTTGCGCGCTCGTGTCCTCTGAGCTGTGGAAAATCATGCGATAGCTATATCTGTCTGTTGATGAGCGAGTGGCGGGAGATCGAAGATTGATAATTGCGCTGTGCAGGCCGAGGGAAACAGAGGGCCAGGAGGCATCTAAGAGAGCCAATCAATCCTGATAAGAGAGAACGTCGGGGGGGGTTGCAGATTGCAGGTTGGAGTTGGAGTTGGAAATGTGAGACAAACCAAGGAGGAAGAAAGAAACAACTCGAGAAAAAGCAAAAATACCAAGGCCGGGCTTCTTTTTTTGGACGCGCGTAAGGCGGATGATTAATCAGTCACGTGGTAATAGTCGGGGAAAGATGGCGATAAGATGGAACTGATAAGATCAAAGATAAGATGAAAGACGACGACGACGAGAGGTAAAGTCGAAGATGAGACCAAGATGATAGCTCAATTTGTAGGTTAGCAAGTCTCTAGCGCCATCTTTTTGGCTGCCTGGTGAGAGATGATTGAGTACGTATGCATTCATTTAACTATCCAATAATCAGCAAGTTTAGCAGGTGAAAGGATAACTAACCAAAACCTGGACAGTGGCATGGGCAAAAGCCCCTTGGAAGATGATCGACTTCGATGCTCGGATGAACCCGTTCTTGTGCTAACCTTGCATGCTTTGATAGGATATGCATGACCAGACCATTTGTTCTGGTCGACCCCAGGGTCGCACATGGTGCGCTAAGTTTACATGCTGATGCTACAACGAGGTGACTCTATCATCTGTGGGCCATGGTACAAGCTGCAACGATGATACATACAGCCATTAAATCGAGTGATAGCGATGACCGCGATGCTTTCAGAGTACTCCGTAGGGGAGGCGGGTTCGTACATACCGACAAGGGCGTGGCTCGGCAAGTACGGCCTCCTCCTATGCAAACGTGAACCGAGCGAAAACGAGTCTTGGGATGTCATTACGCATTATGTTAACTAGGATTCTACAGGTACCTATCTCAAATGCATCGCGCCATATTACACGGATAAAAGAGGGGTATGTAACGTGTGCTGTTAAGATCGTTGTGCATATATACATTTTTTCGTTGGCATATCTCGATTTCGGCCTATTACATTCTACATCGACAAGGGTCGCGGGCAGTACTACAGCTTCGATGCGGTATCAATTGCTCGTCGCCGTTGTATCTGCGAAGATAGCTCAATCTCCCCGTCGGCAGATGCGGGTTTGACTGGGTGTACTGCCTGAAAGAGTGTTCTTCCCATAGCCTCACTGAGCTCTAGTACGCGGGAGGAGATGGTCTCTCCATCACGACGGTTTTTTCTGTATGTGCACGTTAGCTGAGCTCGGTATGCATGGAGTCCTCCACATACCCTTCACGACGGGATTGCGCAATCATGCGAATAAATTCCCATAGTTTTCCGTGTGGAAGTAGTTTGCCTGTCTCGGGGTCTCTTTCGGGTGCCCATTCAGGCGAAACTCGCATCGTTGGCGGTTGAGGAGATTCCTTGCTCTTAGCGGTGATAATTATGCCTTCCTCCTCAAATCGCTGGTAGGAGTTCTTTAATATCTCCTTGTTGACAGCTTCGATGTAAGAGAGATCACCTTGGTAGTATAGCGTTTTCCCGAGCTGTAACCGCTTGTTAACAATAAAGTGAAGAAAGGAATCAATAATCCCAAGCATAAACTTACCAGCTGAGCATTGCTCTGGGCCTTATTCATGTCAACCCAGACATTTGTCGGGTCTGTAAGTGGCGGTGTTAGGCCTATCAGGGAAACAGTTCCCAGCCAGCACGCTTCAATAAATGGCCACAGCAGGAAGCAATAGAAGTCATAGTTTTCACGGCCACAGTTTCTCTCATGCTCACTGAGCTCAATCATCTGTGGAACGTTTGATGCGTCTTTGGTAACCTTGAGCACATTTCCTCTTTCCAGCCCATGTAGTGTTTTCTCCAAGTTTGCCGTTAGCCCCTCTGGAGGGAAGATAAACTCGCCTCGGAATAGCTATCATATCTATTTAGCGTCATATTCCTTGTCGTAAAATATAATGGGATACGAACCTGCGATAGGAATGATACACGAGTAAGAAGCTCATCATAAGTTATCTGCTGGTTAGATGGTTCACCGCCTTTCTTTACTCGGCTGTACAGGGCGACGGATACCAAGGCTTCGGGGATAAATAGATGAATGGTCATGTTCCGGTAGAAGGACAATTGGAACCGATCAACGACATGATATGTCTCTTCCGCCAGTCCAGCCGTTTTGCCCACAAGTTTTGGACCCAATACCTCTAGGGCACGCTCTACAACATGTGTTGTTGGTGCTCTGTAGAAATGTGCAACCCGCCCACCTTTTTCCTTGACACGATGACATAGCCAATCCACTCTTCGGGATAGTTCAGCTTTACCAACACCTCGACCTCTTAGCGTTAAAAGGACGGTGCCCACGAGAGCGGTGGGCATGATGACCGAAGCGTCATTGATCTGGGAAAGGACACGATAGCCAAAAGTGCGTAGGATTCTTGATCGCTCCTCTTGACTGATAGTTGCCATCAGATTCCTCTCATTAGTAGGCATATGGTGTATTTTGGTAGTCTGCTGTGTAATGAATTGCTTTAAGCTCCATGGTTCATGGAACCGAACATCAATCCGGCCTAGCTTCAGTGAAAGAACAGAGGAAGCGGATATAAAGTCCCGTAGATTTTCCTTTTGTTTCGGTTGACCGAGAAGCTCGCTGATATATGACTCGGTCTCGATAACTTTGTCGTACTGAGTGCTGACAGGGCATATAAGCGCATCCTCCACACGGCCAGAGCCAACACTGTCCAAAACATATCTAAGAATACCATATTTGGGCGGTAAGAGTTTTCCGGTTCTAGATCTGCCGCCTTCAACAAAACATTCAAAGTTATGGCCGTTGCTCAACAGGGTATCAATGTATGCTTGAACAAGAGCATGGTACAATGGATCGTTTCCAAACTTGCGTCGAATCCACATAGCACCTGTATTTTGCTGATAAGTTTACTTCAGCTTCATAGGGCGGATATTAGAACATACCAGCATGCTGCAAGAAACTCCCGAGCAAAGGAATGTTCAAATTGTCTCCAGCAACCACAACCGGGAGAGCTATCCCTAGCCGATAGCAGATAACTTGAAGGGATGCATAGTCGACATGGGATTTGTGGCAAGGTAAGAATACAATGGATTGTTTTCTCTTGGCTGCATCTTCAGCGACTTTCCTAAGCCTCAGCACCTCCTCGCTAGAAACATGGATTCCTAAGACATACCAGTCAATCTATGCGCTCAGCAAAGATGGATGTCTTCATGCATGAAACAATAACCATTTGACCTACCTTGATGATACGCTCTAGTCAGGATCTGAGTAGTAATATAATATGCTCCTCGGATAAATGACTTGCTCTCCATCTTGCAAATCATGTTATCCATCATGGTATCAACAACCTCTCGCAGACTAGCCGCGATCTCCTCCTTTCTCCTAGTCCGTGCATCAACACTAGGTCCGCCATTAGAACTCGCCGGCGCAGTAACGCTCAGTAGCCCTTCAACCTCCTCAGTCTTAACCCGCGATTCTGCCAGCTCTTCAATCTTGCCAACTAGCAGCGAGTGACTTGCTACAGACGACTTCATCTTCTCAGAGAAGCCAGAGTAGAAGATGGGCTGACCAATAAAATCATCGTATGCACGCCACCCGGTACCTGACACAAAGAGGCTGATTTCTCGTAAGAAATCAAAAGGGTTCTCTCGAAATCTGCCCATCTGGTGCATCAACCGGCGTTCGGTAATGCCATCTGTTTCCTCGATCCCGGCTGTAAATCCGGTAGGCTGAATTCTGACCTGATCTCCCACAATCTCAAGGTCTGGCGCCAGCTTTGGGACCTCTGAAGGTCCCTCTTTTGAAGCCATTGTCGCGAGTACACAGCCGATATAACAAATGGCTGTATTGTTATATATCAGACGAAAAGCCACCAATCACAACTCCATCGACATATCCATCAAATGTGAAGACAGCCACATAGTGAATCAGGGGGTAAGAAGAGAAAAAGGCCCAGCTCACTCCCCTTCACACCCGATCACTGCATCCCAAAGCTATCCTTGTCTTCCTTTCGTCCTTCGGGTCGTCGTATTCCCCTACTTGTTGTCGGCTTTCTTCCTTGTCGTTGCTGCTGACTAACCTCGGCCCGCGGTCACCTGATACCCCAACCAAATGGATGGATGGAAAAAAAGAGCCGAGGGCGGCTAAAAAAGATATAAAAGTAAAAGAAAAGAAACAAGTAAAAACAAGGAAGACTGCAAGCAACGCTGAAGAAGACAGCACGATCGCGAGCTCAAAGGCTGCCTTGGGGGACGTGCAAGTGAAATAAACACCTCTTCATGTTGACATAGAATGTAGAGTCAAAGCCCGTCTGGCATACCCGCCGTCTTTTCCCTCGCTTTTTCCATGCTGAATGTCACACAACTTGCGGCTTAGTCTAATGATGTGGACTAGAAGAGTCTCAAGTAAGCCATTGAGTGCCCTCCGCCGGAGAGTAATGCCATACAGCTAACGATTCTCTGTTAGCTTTGCCTATAAGGCTTACCGGCCAGCGCCGATGTCTATCTCAGTCCGCAATCGCCGTTTTCAGGGATGTACCACCGCTTCGGCAATATAGGAAAGGTCTCCTCCTCTCAGGTCGAACCGTAGGATTTGTGCCTACAATGGGTGCTCTCCATGATGGTCACATGTCTCTAATCCGACAGGCTGCCCAGGAAAACACTGATGTCGTTGTCAGTATATATGTGAATCCAACACAGTTTGGAGTAAATGAGGACTTGGACAGCTACCCGCGGACATGGAACGAAGATTTGGAGAAGATACAGACTCTCAATACAGAGTTTGAAAGCAAGTCATGGACTGGATCTGGCCGTGTTACGGCAATTTTTGCTCCTACTACCAAAGTAGTGTACCCTACGCTACCTCCCACATCCGAGCTGAATGGAAACGGAAGCTTCGTGACTATAACACCACTGGCGACCAAGCTCGAGGGAGCTTCTAGACCAGTTTTCTTCCGCGGGGTTGCTACTGTGTGTACAAAGCTATTCAACATGGTGACTCCGGACCGTGTGTACTTTGGTCAAAAAGACGTACAGCAGTCTATCATTATTAAACGCATGGTGCAGGATTTCCATATCGACACTGAGGTCAGGGTTGGTCCCACTTCAAGAGAACCAGATGGCCTTGCGATGAGTTCGCGTAATGTATATCTCGGCGCTAGACGACGAAATGTTGGCTTGGTTTTGTCCCGTGCCTTGAGAGCAGCGGAGGCTGTCTACCTATCCGGAAAGAAGTTGCGAAAGGAAATACTCGGCGCTGCAAATTCCTTTGCACAATCCACATTGGCTGAACAGGAGCTTCTCCCTGCATATAAACGTGCTAGATTTGAAGTGGACTATATTTCTCTAGCAGACCCCGAGTCACTAGAGGAGCTGGACCATGTCGATGAATCAAAGGGTGCGGTCTTAAGCGGTGCTGTGAAGATGTTTCCGCTAGAAGAACCCCAGGAAGGCGAAGACTGCGGGCTTGGAGGAGGAAAAGTACCTGTGAGACTGATCGATAATGTCATCCTACAGCCTTTATCTTGAGAGCTCCTTATTCTATACCAATCTAGATCACGGGCCATCCATATATTCTGTGGTTCTGTGGATATACAGCTATAATTCAGAGAGAGAACTTGGATCCTACTATTAGAATTTTATATATAATTAGTTGAACATCTACTAAACACCCTTGCTTTACTTTGCTATATATCTTTGCATCCATGGTTTACATCCTGCCGAATCGGGAATTTAGGGCTCAGCTTTAGGGTCGAGCAACCTTTTTTTTTTTCCTTCCGCCGCAAAACTAAAAGCTTCAATCTTCACCCTCTAGCCGCAACGCTGGAGAGAGCAAAAGAGAGAAATCAACGAAACAATACCAAAGTGCTTCGCTCTTACTTTGGTCGTCATCATGGCGGACGATGGCATGCTTATGAATTTTGACGTGGGAGACGGGATTATCAGCTCGCAACAGAAATTTAAAGGTGGCAAGTGGAAGGATCGTCTCGTCGCCAAAAAAATCGCAGACCACCGGTACAAGAAATCGAAGCAACCATTTACCGCAGATGATAGTAGACGGGGTGAAAGAGGGAGAGAAGCGGATCATGGAGGTGTATCCAGCCGTCCACCGAAGCGACAGAGACTCAATAATGGAGATTTTCAACCAAGCACTGCTAGCATAACAGGAGTTTCTAATAACTCCAGCAGCAAATATGCCACTGGCCCACAAAGAGAGGTTATCTCGTCGCTTTTCTCGTATAATCCCGTTGCGAAGACTGTACCTACGGCGGAAGAATCTACGGCGCATGATGATGCTGAAGCTACGAAAGCTTCCAATGCCCCTCTCGTCGACGGTATCGATACGTTTACGTCTCTCGGGCTATCGCCAGAGCTCGCAGCACACCTACTGACCAAACTGAAGTTGAAAAATCCTACCGCGATTCAAAAGAGCTCAATCACACAGCTGCTAAAAGAAAACTGCGATGGGTTTATACAGGCAGAAACCGGATCTGGAAAAACACTTGCATACCTCCTACCCTTGGTACAACGGCTAATGAACTTATCTGGCCGAAAAAGCGCAGAGGAAGGCCAAGGTCAACCCACGCCGATTCACCGAGACTCGGGTTTATTTGCTATTATCCTTGCGCCAACTCGAGAACTTTGCAAGCAGATATCTGTGGTACTTGATAGTTTGCTAAACTGTGCTCATTGGCTTGTTGCTGGCACAGTTATCGGTGGAGAGAAGAAGAAATCAGAAAAAGCAAGATTACGGAAGGGGTTGAATATCCTCGTTGCTACTCCTGGACGGCTTGCGGATCATCTAGATAATACCAAAGTTCTTGACGTGGGCCTTGTTAGGTGGCTTGTGCTCGACGAAGGCGACCGATTGATGGAGTTAGGATTCGAAGAAGAGATTCAGAATATTATTAAAAAGTTGGACTCTAAAAGGCGACCTACATCAAAGATTGAAAATCTTCCTCCAAAGAGATTAACGGTACTATGTTCTGCCACGCTGAAGATGAACGTGCAGCGTCTAGGAGAGATGAGTTTGAAGGATGCGGTTCATATACAGGCTGATCCGGCAGATGAAATTGAAGATGCCTCTTCCCAGGCTGGAGATGCGCAAAAGTCTCTGGAATTCTCAGCACCAGCTCAGCTGAAGCAGTCGTTCGCAATTGTCGCATCAAAGCTTCGACTTGTTACCTTGACAGCCCTTCTCAAAAGTACCTTTATACGCAAGGGAACTGTTATGAAAGCTATCGTTTTTGTTTCTTGCGCGGATTCAGTGGATTACCATTTCGAGGTTTTCACTAGAAAGTCGGATAAGAGTACTGAAGGCGTCGGAAAGGGAGAGAAGGAAAGAGAGGGAGAAGAAAAGGAGGAGAAAGACTCGATTGCTGAAGCAGCATCTACCACTAACTCATCTACCCAAGGAACAGTAGCCGAATCTCCAACATTATCAAATCCTAACAATTCGGTAATGCTGCATAAACTCCATGGATCCCTCCCTCAACATGTTCGAACAGCAACGCTTTCTGCATTTGCCAAACAAAAGGACACCTCCGTTTTAATATGTACAGATGTTGCGTCTCGGGGTCTTGATCTACCAAATGTTGACTTCGTCATTGAGTATGACCCTGCGTTCTCCGCTGATGACCATCTTCACCGTATCGGTCGTACAGCTCGATTGGGTCGTGATGGTCGTGCTATGATCTTCCTTCTTCCTGGAAGTGAAGAAGGATATATCAATGTTCTAAAACGCGGGTATCGCGACAACAACACCAAGGCTGTGACCCGCAGTGATGAAAGCGACATCTTGAAGCGAGGATTCGGACGGACTAATGGCAAGGGTTGGGAAGAGGCAGCCACTGAGTTCCAGCTAGATATAGAACGCTGGACCCTGGACAACCCCAGTATCCTGGAAATGGCTCGTCGGGCTTTTCAATCTCATATTCGTGCGTACGCTACACATATTGCAAGCGAGAGGGAGTACTTCAACATAAAGGATCTGCATCTAGGCCATCTGGCCAAAGGTTTCGGATTGCGAGACAGGCCAACGAAGATCAATGTTCCCGGACTCCGAACCGGCAAGGAGGAGACAAAGAAGGCGTTCAAAGCAAACAGGACAGTAGAGTCCAGTGACAAGAAGAATGAGTCCGGTCCCAAAAATGATAGTGCGGCCGATAAAATGCGGAAGAAGATGAGAGAACATATGTCCGCGGCAAATGAGTTTAATATCGCCTAAGGACGAGTCTGGTATGAGACAGTTGAGCGATACTACACTTTTTTCCCCTCTTCCTTTCATGGCTGACAGCGTTGTGTGCATACTCAGTATATATCCCATAGCGAGACCTTTCCGTCCTTTGACCCGGCGGCAATCCAATGTGTTAACTGTGCTTTGATGCTTCTCTGCTGCTTGATTTCTGCCAAAGAACGGGGTTCATTCCTAATCGTAAGATTTGTACTTTTATTCTCCTGGATTGTATTGGTACCTATTGCATCTCTAGTTGTCCCTATGTCTCCGGTGTCCATTTTGACCTGGGCAAATGCAATAGAATAGCACCCTTCCTTGTGCCATTTCAGAACTGCTAGCTCCTTCATTGACTTGCAGCTGTAAACTCGGATTCTATTGTCCCATCCCGCGGTAGCGAATATTCTATCGTCTGATCGAATTCTCAAGCCTTGCTGTCCCGAATGTTTAGTGTTCACAGCTTTCAAATGCGCAGACTCTGCTGCGCTTCTAATATTAGTAACATCAGGTTCCAAGGTTGGTGGCAGCCTTGGAATAGGGTGTTTCACGACCATTGCATCCGCAGATGAAGTGACAAAGCACTTTCGTTCCGAGCTGGGTGAGGTATCGAGTGATAGAATTGGCTGTGAATGTGAGCGGTTTGTATATAGTAACTCCCAGTTCCATGAAGGGTTAGAATTATCCTCCTCCGCAATGAGTAACCGGTTAATGGCGCCTCGACAGGCGTGGACCATGGCACTGCCATCCTCATAGCCAGAAATGATATAAAGGTCTTCTCCTTCAGGGGGTATGAACATTTCTAATGCCATCGCCATACCAGTGTTGACCTCAGTTTCTGGTGAGATAACACATAGCCGCTTTTCAGACGGCAGGTGGAAGATATCAAGGCCACCAGTATTCAAAGCATTTGGCACTGCGAGAAGCATTTGGTTTTCTGCGTTGATCGCGTCCTTGGACTCAATCCCACCCCTGTGTGGGAGAAAACAATACGCAAAACCACAAAAGTTCAGGGCATTGACGGATAGAGAATGTAACATCCAAGGCTTGTTTCCGTCTTGTGGGTGATTTTGCGTGTCCAAGGGAAGTATCTTGCCCACAATGTCTTCGTCCTTCTCATTTAACCTCCAGACGCATAGCTTATGGTCTCTTCCGTGTCTATGGCTGGTTAGTCGATACATCCAGTCGGTGAGATATGGAAGGAATCTCACGTCAGAATTCTCCTTTCCACGTCTGTTTCTAGGTTGACTTCAACACCCGCAACGGCTAAGATAGATCCTTCGTGAGCTTTCCAGGTGGCTGCCGCCCGTTTACTAGTCATATCCCATACAACAACCCATCCATCGGCATCCCCGGAAATAAGTCTTGAGTTCGAGCCATAGAAGTTGAGAGAGTGTATTGGGCTTGCGTGTCCTCTAAGAACATATGTAGGAGTTGCCGGAGGGTGTTTTTGGCTTGAGCCTGAAGGGCCTTGTTGGAATTGGTCAGGAGCCGCCATATTGGCTATGCCGCTGGAATTTTCGGCTATATAACGTAGATATTCTATTCTGGGTATATTTGAACAAAATTATTATCGTTCACTTCTAGACGGTTGTTTAGTACAAAGTGTGTGGTCTCAAGAAGGCGAAGCTTGGTGAAAAGAAACTAGTCTTGGCCTTGGGGAAGTTATCAATTAGCAACTAAATAAACTACCAGGTTTTATAGTTAGAGTAACTAGTTAAAAGAACAACCAATTTGATAGATGATAAAAGAATAAAAGCCGATAACTAGTACTCCATTTATATGCAATTTCCTCCATTAAATACTTGCAGCAGCGATGATATGCTAGAATCCAGTCCTCTTCCGGGCCCGTCGGTTACGATCTAACTGATATTTTAGATCATTTCCGGCCTATTGAGCCCATATTTAAACAAGATAAAAAACAATATAGCGACAAGGGAATTGAGTATGTTGTTTTTGAGCCCACCAAACAGACGCCGGAGAACGGTAGACGACCTGAAAATATACCGATGCCGAGAAAAGAAACAAGTATAGAGCTCCCCCCATGCAGTTGAAAATCCATGCGCCATGCCATGTCAAAAGGTATGCGACATCTATCCAGCTTTGCTATCATGTGAAAAACTAGTAATGGCCGTACTGATAACTACCCTGCGGAGTATTTTGTGGTGCGACGTAATGATTCTGATATGGGTGGTTGGCTGCGTTGAAATCAGCAGCCGCCATCATTGGGTTAACGATCCCTTGTGGAATAGCAGGCCGAGGAGGGGCAAGGCCCACTTCAGGAGGTAGTAAGGAAGGGTTCAGGTTCATAGGGCCCGCAGCTGTTGAGGTTGTAGGGATGGAGGTCATGGCAGGCTGTTGATGTTGTTGGTGAGAATGTTGGTGTTGGTGTTGGTGTTGGTCTTGTGGTATTGGCTGGCTGTCTGTTTTGACATTCCATCCCCATTTTTGCACTAGCTCTTGCTGAAGAGGTCCGATTTTCCAGCCGGTCTCCTTGAGTATTTTATCCATTATATCTAGGACCTGCTCTTGTGAGACTCTGTTGACAAGGCATTCAGCCGCTATTATCAGGCAGCGAATGGAGACGCTAGCAACACCCCTAAATAGCTATGTCAGTATGACGTGAGATAGATAGAGGACGAGAAAGAGGCAAACCGGACAAAACGTACCGATCTTTGACATGTGCTACGATGCCACAAATGTCATTTGCGTGGCTCTGCTGGATAGCTAGCATATTTTCGCTAAACCGGGACTCGGTTGGATGGGTCTTTGCCAAAAGAACACATGTAGTGTGGTAGAACAGCCGAGCAACCACGGATGATCTCTTGATAAGCCTAATCCTTATGTCAGTATGAAAGCGATTAGCATATAGGCAGATGTATATTCCTCTGCTCCGATAACAGTCGGAACTTACCAAACTTCGGGGAATGAAGATTTCGTCTTTGACTGCCACGGTTGCAGGTACCCGAGCGGCCGCATTGACCGAGGTATGCATCTCTCCCACTCATCACACCAAGCTTTCATTTTATTCCACTCGTCGCTTTCCCGACTTACATCGGTCTCGTGGCTCTGTCTTTCATGAACTAAAGGTTGGTGCGCCGTTGTCCGATAATTGGCGACTTTTGCACAGATATACACTATCCTATGCGTCCATAATTCCTCATTTCCGATAATACTAGATTCAGCCGGAACCATATTCATATCCACTCCCCAGGTATCCGGGTCCCAGGCTAGTTTCCAGTTGTAATGGAGACAGCTTAGTAGCTCCATACCAACGTTTAGCCAGAAACAGGCACCGCCTACTCCAGTCGATCTGCCATCCCAGTGGCATTCTTTGATAAGAGCCCGGGCTCCCGCTATGTGGTTCATCCGCTGAGTTGCGTTTGTAGACATGACCTCGTAGACATTGAGGACCACTGCAGTCGTGGCAGACAGAGCAGAGTCTCGGTTAGGATTTTGAAGGTATCTGAGAAGATCCTGGGTGGCCGAGTTGTAGTAGAACAAAGCTTTCTCCTCCTTGTACGTCGCATTTACAAGATGTAGATGGCGGGCACCACACGCTAGTAGAGCATTCAAAAGCATTGGCTCTCCAAGAGCATAAAATGGTATTATACGAGTAAACTGGACAGGTGAGCAGGCGGATTTAAGCCGGAAGTTTGGAACATGGAGAACAAATACGTACGTGTTTCATGGCGTCCATTGAGTCCATCCATAGGCCGACCTCTTCTACAAACACTTGCATGAGAAGCACTTCTTCCGGAGTATTCAGACACGGTCTCGGACCCCTTGGAGGTGCTAGAGTAAGCACCGATGGCTGTGGAATAGGTTGATCTTGAACTACATGATTAGAAGAGGGCGGCTGTTGAGTCGTTTGAAACATAGATTCGTACCCTTCAGCAGACGGGGCTTCAGGAAATGTCAGTAAAGCCGGCGCACTGGCTAGAGTGTGATGAGAGGATATGGCAAACCCCATCATGTTGGCAAATCCGAATCCAATGGGCTTGGTAAACTCCTCATCTTTTATGGGGCGATATCTCTCAGATCCGCCCAGGTATTCGGAAGCTATCTCCCTCGATTCGTCTCGAAAGTTGATCTGCCATGTCTGCGGAGATGGCGCTGCATACGGCGGTGCAGCGACCTGTGTATCGATGAAATTCAACCTAATTCCACGCTTGCATTGCCTGTCTGATTTCTGACAATTGAGGCAGCGCGGAACAGCCTCGTCACACTTGAGATGCCTTTCCCTGCATGTCAAACATCCTGTCCTCACTCGCTTCGGCTTCGATGTCGCTGCACCCTTTGCTGCACCTGGACTGCTGGCTGTACCGGCAGTTGGTTGTATGGCGACAGGGGCAGAAGTCTCGTCTCTTTCACCAGCGTCTTTCTTCCCGACGCTTTTCCGCCGTTCAGCTGCCTGACCAGGCCCTTGCGCAGTAGGTAGAAGCTGGTAAGAGCCTCTGATCTCACTACTTTCTGACAGTGAAGGTACAGGATTCGCAGACGACAACGCCAGAGAAGTATCGAATTCGTTTTCCTGCATCAATTGCTGACCGACACTAGATGCCATGGATATTCTAACCTCACAAGAGTTGTCCCGAGCGCAGTAAGAATGGCCGTATCAAGCTACTCAACCAAGCGACTTCGAATATAGAGAGACAGATGAGAGCCGGGAATCGAGAGACCGGCACGCAGGCAGGCAAGGAGGCAAGGGGAAGACAAGGTGGGAGCTGAGGTTGTGGATTTCTCCCCGTTTGGTATTCGAGCCGTCAGCACCTACGCATTTCTCTGTGCCCAGCGGGAGGTCAGGAAGACAGTCGCCTGCCGAATGCTGGAGGATTGCAGTGATCCAGCTCAATGATGACTGGTCAGCACGGGATGGCCCATATGGCTAAGCACTTGATGTCGTACTTGCAGCTTGCCTTGGGGTTGGACGGCTGCTTGGTCGGTCGCTGGGAGATCACTCGGGCTGCGCGGGCTTCGTATCGACCGATCTAGGAGACATGCTTGTTAATTTGCAGTCCTGGTGGCATCGTGTATCATGCACGGTCAATCAGAGAGCTTACTGCAGGAAGGCGATGATGCAGGTGAGCTCAGGGTCAGCATCCATCGGTGTGAGTTGGTTGTTTCGCCCGGAGAAAAAGTGTTTAGTAGCCAAAGAAAAGGCTAACTAGGTAGTTAGCTAGTTAGTTAAAGCGATATAAATAAATAAATAAATAAATAAATAAAAAAAAAAAAAAAAAATATGGCCCATCGAGCCAACTACGAGGCCTTAACTGCCGGGGATTATAGACAAGGCTTCAGCTTCATCGTCTTCTTCTTCGTCTTGATGGGCCACTAGGCCGGCCGGGCATATACATAGCTAGCTGAGGACCATGTAACTATGCACATCATCGAGCCTAACTACGCCTCGTAAATGTACGACCAGACTACCCAGAGTTGCGGTTCTCAGAAACCAGAGTTTCTGATATTCCAATTATTTATGAAAATCTCGATAAAGATGAGTTCATTGGAAGATGAACATTGGAATGCGTTTCAGAGATCATATTTGCATCTGGCCCAGGGAGGACAAAACCAGCCTGGCCATCGTCCTGGTTATCCATTTTGTTTCCTTTCTTTTTTGCTTCTAATTGCTGATTTTAGGCCAGGGTTCTTGTGCTACTACTGGGAGATTTAATGGTTGAAAGGGGGCCGTAGAGAGAGAGTGAACGGATGTCTGGGGGAATCGAGGGAACTCCCTTTTTGATAGGAAAGTGCTGACTGCAGTTCAGATAACATATAGCTTATTATTCTATGGACGGATGGAGATATTATTAATTTTCTAGTAGGAAGGATGGTCAGCATGCTGGGGAAGGGAGTCCGCGAAGCTGGTAACTAGGTAGGCCCTGTGTGCACTTACACAGGTTTTACAATGGCGTCCCGACAACGCTTCTGTGACATGTCGAAATAGCTTATCGACATGATAGACATGTCGAGACATCACCATCATGCTTTTCGGCTTAGCCGAGCTAGCCTGACGGGGAGTACGAGTAGCAGGGACATTGTCGCCCATGCAACACCGACGATAAATGTCAGGTGAAGCGCCTGCTCATACCCTTGGATAACTACAGAATGTCAGAGCTAGTCAGCCCGGCAGCTGAGCTACAAGAAGTGTACGCGGTACAGGAGGCAAAATGTAACGGTTTCAACGTACCTTCACTTTGATGTATTGGGTCCAGCAGACGTATTTCCGTAATAGACTGGCGAACCCGCTTGATGACGTCTTGTCTGTCGTTGCCGGTGACACTCTGCGTCAGGTAGTAGATGAGAGCGTTCTGCAGTGTCCAGCTACTTACCGAAACACCGAAGACCGATCCCAGATTACGGAAGAGGCTGAGAGTGGTGGTGGTGACGGCTTGTTCAGCCTGGGGGCTGACTGCAAGAGTCGACACCAAAGTGGCTGGCATAGCGAAGCCCTGACCGAAGCCTGATGGTAAGAGAAAGAGTATTGCAAGCCACCCGGGAGTATCTCTATTCATGGAGCTAGTGACGGCACATCCAATGATGAAAAAGACGAACCCTATTATGAGCATGGGTTTCAAGCGTCCGCTCCAGGTAATGAAGAAGCCCGTGAACACGCTAGATGCCATGATAGCCAGTGAAGACGCAAGGATTCTCAGTCCAGAACTGGTTAGAGACTCCAGCTTGACCGCCTGAAAGAACAAGGGCATGTTGAACAGGATGGTGTTGATAACCATTGTTCCGAAGAAGTTCGACAGGATCAGGTTTGCCTGAGGGAAGGTGGACAGCAAGGGCAGCGGCATGACCGGTCGTTTGGCCCTCGCTTCGATCTTCAGGAATGGAATCAGACAGACACAGAACACCAGAAGAGACACAATGATGACAGGGTGAGACCAAGGCAGGACGCTTCCTCCCAGGTTCAAAGTAAGTAATAATGAGGTGACTCCGGTGATGAGCAGAAACGAGCCCTTTATATCAAGGGTCTTGACTGCTTGCACGAGCGTCCAGCCTTCGTTGCGAGCGAGTTCTGGCCCCAGGGAAGTTGGGACGACAAAATATGATATTATCAAGTAAACAAAGATGAAGGGCAGCTGGATACCAAACGCAGCCCTCCAACCAAGAGTGTCTGCAATATAGCCACCGCAAGCGACGCCCAATGACGAGCCGATGCCATTACACAGGTTGATGTATGACTGATACATGCCCCTGTACTCTATCCGGATGAGATCAGAGCTAATTATCATCCCCGCCGAGACGACACCTCCGGCACCCAACCCGCAAAAGGCGCGAGCAGCAATGAAGCTGGTGATGCTCTGAGCAGTAGCACACCAGGCGGTTGTGATGAAGAAAACGGCAACGGCAAACAGATAGACCGGCCGTCTACCAAAGACATCGGAAATGCGGCCGAACACAGGTTGAAAGGCAGTCGAAGTCAACAGAAAGACGGTAGAGAGCCATGCTGCAGAGTTCGCGGCGTTAAAATGTGAGGTAATGGCAGGATGGATGGAGGCCATCAGTGTAGAGTCAAACATGGCTATAAGCCAGGCGAACAGAATTCCGGAGAAGACGGCCCAGAATTCTTTTTGGGTAACGTTGATGAAGTGAGGATGTGCCTCTTTCTCTTGGTTGTCTGCTGCTGCTCCATGGTTGGTGCAGGAGGATCTGTTGTCTTCCGGAGTCATAACAGCCTGAATCGTGGGATCAATTCCATCTGTACTGATAACAGACTGAGCCCTGGCTATGTCGTAACCTGGGAATCCGTCACCTCCATCTGAACGAAGCAGAGGCGTCTCTTCGTCCACACTCTGAGCTGTTGCCGGAGCCATTTGCCTTTTAGAAAGCCCAGGCCGAGTACGGAGTATCGATATATTGGTTGTGGCTTTCCGCAATCAAATTAGATTTCTTCGCATTCACTATCCTGTAACTCGATGTTTCCTCTTCCCAACATTTAGGCCAGACAAGACCGCAACTGACAGTCCCAGCAAAGTCGACCTACCTGCTCCAGACCAGCAGCCTCCTTATATACCACGACTGCAAGGGTTATTATTATTATGGCCATGATGATGGAGCAGCCCTTGTAACACAGGACTGAAATCTCTAGCCCAAGTTCTGTGATGGAAATGCTGATTGCTCGCTGCCTGCTAGGATGTGGGACCTTATAAAGAAAAAGAAAAAGAATCCCTGGCTGAGGCTGCAAAAAGCTCGAATCCGGGTGAGAAACGAACCACCTTGACAGCGCCTCTCGTCTTGTTCCTCTTCCCTGAGACCAACATGCGGAAGGTCCTGTAGCATCAAGCCACTGGTCATTCCTTTTGGGGGCGTCAGGTTAGAGTTGATATTTCAGCCTCCAGCCCCTGTTGATCGTGGGTATCATGGTCGATATTATTGGGATAGTCCTGTGTACGACGAGCTCCACAAAGCATTCTGGCCAGGACTGCTTCCTCCCTCTCTCTCTGTGTCACTGCATGGAGCAGTATAGATGCGTTGTCACTGTTGTCGTTCTTGTTGTTGTTGTTGTCGTCGTCGTCGTCGTAGCAGCCATGCAGTTGAAAGTGGTGGAGTTGCGGTGGATACAAGATGGTTTAGTTAAGCGCCTAACTAAGCTGGAGGTTATTCATCGCCGGCCCTGGAGGGAGAGCAACCTCCGGCGGGGAACCTGAGGATGACAAGGAAAGGGCGCCATCGCCGGCTGCAACGCTCCTTTTTTACCGAACTAACGACTGCGATTGCGACTGCGAGAACCATTGCTGACACAAGGAGACGCCCTCGACCACCGGCCAGACCGCCAGCTGAAGCACAAGACAAGACACCATGAGACGCCCTATCCGCCTCGCAGTCCTCGAGTGCGACCACCCCCTGCCACAGACTGCAGCAAAGTACGGCGGGCGCTTTGGAGGGGTCTTCAAGGCGCTGCTGGGACAGTCGGCAAAGACGCTGAACAGGCCTGACATCGTTGATCCAGAGGCCGGGCTGGACATCTCAGAGTACGACGTCGTGAAGGGAGATGAGTTTCCGGCTCTGGAGGACATCGACGCCGTCCTCATCTCCGGATCAAGTGCGTGTGCTTCCTTCCCCCTTTGCTCTGATTGCTTTTTTGCTCGGAACTAGTAGATTGACTAGTTGTTGCGCCTGGCTAGAATTTGATTCCTTTGATACCACGACGCCCTGGATAAACAGGCTGGTCGAGTTTACCAAGCAGGTTCTAGCCCAGGACCGCGTCAGGCTGATTGGGGTCTGCTTCGGCCATCAGATCATCGGACGAGCGCTGGGGGCCAAAGTCGGCCGTAGCGCTAACGGCTGGGAGGCCTCGGTGCAAGAACTGACCTTGACGAACCAGGGCAAAGAGGTCTTTGGCGTTGAGAAGCTGGTACGTCAAGAGTGTCTATCTACATGGCTGCTTTGCTTGAAAAGAACTGTGGCTGACTGATAAGATAGAGCATTATGGAGATGCACCGTGATGTCGTGTATGAGCTTCCAGCCAACACCGTCGCCCTCGGCCATACGCCCAAGTGCTCCATCCAAGGCATGTACAATCCCCGCAGATTCATCTCCGTCCAGGGCCATCCCGAGTTTAACAGGGACATCGTCATGGAGATCATGCAGACCAGAAAGGCTGGGTATCCGCCAGAGGTCTTTGACGAAGCCATGAAGGTCATTGACAATAAGCAGGACGGCGTCCTCGTTGGTGAAGCCTTCCTGAAGTTCTTGGCTGAGGAGTGATCAATCGTCGTATATCAAAGTACGTCAATGTACGTGCCATCCAAAGCCAGTAAATGAGTTACAATACGTACATAATGTGCCTATGATAGAATACGCCAGAATGAATAGATCTAAATTGTTTTAAGCAAGAACCGCTAGGATAAATATTAAGGTAATGCAAGTAACGGGGAGCGATATATATAGATATATATAGCTGGAGTCTCCATGACCAGCATGATTCAACTGCCCTCTCTTTCTAGGAACCCTGGATCAGCCTCTATCTTCCTCTCAAACTTAGCCCACCAATCTCTAAAACTCTTCAAGGGCACAACCTCTTCACCCTGAGCCCGAGGATCCGAAGCAGCAAAGCTCGCAAGGAAGTTGAAGGCATTTCCAATAATCCTCTGTGCCAACACCTTCGTCGTCATGCCCGTCTGTCCTGTCCTCTTTACCAGTTCCATCCCCGTCGATGGTTGCTGTAATGTAGCTAGTTTCTCCCGAATAACCTGCGTGGACTCAATTGCTATCCCTAGTGTGATTATAGCGTTCGGATCAACGGCCCCAGCCCCTTCATCCATCATCTCGTTCTCTTGCTCTGCCTCTGTCATCGGTTTCTGCGAGCCCGGCAGGTTGACCTTGAATATTGCTGAGGGTTTCTCGTTTGCTATTGCACCCAGGAACCGGAATTCGGGCTGCTGTTGCTGCGGCTGGCCGTTTCCCGGCTGGTTTGGAAACTGTATGTATACTGCTGCCGCGACATCTGGCGGAAGAGTAACACCCGGTAGAAGGAAGACGACGATATGAGAGAACTTGGGCGCTGCGGGAAAGGTAAATGCAAAGTTTGTCGGCGGCGTGTTTGGGTCTGGCTGTATGGGTACAGCTTCGGTCAGGCATGGCCGTCCCGGCAGGACGACAGAGAACATCGCCATCTGCAGTTAGCTATAGGAGTAGCTAGCTAATCCCAGTAGTTGTAGTAGTAGTAGTTAGACTCACGTCAAGGCGAGTGCAGGGTATAAAGGGTGTAACACAGCCCGCCGGAGCTCACCAACTACCTAGCTTCCTTCCTGTTCTCCGTCCGCATCGAAAGCCGAAGAAACTGAACGACCAAAAACACACAAAAAGTGGAAGCCACTGGGATGTTTTCTGGTTATCGATAAGAACAAAAAAAAGATGCACGATGAGATCACCAGTCACGTGGGAGGGCGAGGTCGACGCTGAAAGAGACGGAAAAGAGACGGCAGGACATCGACATCCCGAGGTTGAAAGCGCTGGCAGGATGGGGAAGAGTATTCTGGATCTCATCAACGAGTGCGATGTGTGAGTCTGGCCGGGTTGTCCCCTTGATATCAAAAGTAGGATAACTAGTTACTGACTTTACTGCAGATTCCCGTACTACCAGGACGACCCCGCGGTATACAAGAGATACAGAGAAAAGTACCATGAATTCAAGATCGCAGGCTACGAGCAGACCTTTGGCCTCGTCCTCAATTCCATAGTGGACAAGTTCCCATGGCCAAAAGAAAGCTGGAAGCTCGACAGCGAGACAAAGTCAATAACTCTGCTTGCGCCAGAGGATGCTACAGAACAACAACGAAGCGCCCTCCTAGCGCAGACGCTGGAGATTGGCGCAAAGAGCGGGAAGATCGATGTCCTCAAGGGCTGGAGGAATGAGCTATACCCCATCTATGGCCCCAAGAAAGAACTGGTTGCCAGCGTGGAGCGGGCGGGCAGCAGTCTATTCGGTATCCTGAGCTATGGAGTCCATATGACCGTCTACACCAAGGACGAGAAGAAGGGTATCATGATTTGGGTGCCTAGACGAGCCAGGACGAAGCAGACTTACCCGGGTATGTTAGACAATACAGTTGGCGGCGGCATAGCTACAGGCGAACCACCGTTCGAGAGCCTGGTACGTGAAGCCATGGAGGAAGCCTCGTTGCCCGAAGATATTGTTCGACGGGACGCCAAATCCTGTGGATGCATAACGTATACCTATGTCCGGGACGAGCGAGCCGGTGGGGAAACGGGACTGCTTCAGCCAGAATGCGAGTATGTTTACGACCTGCGGCTCGACCCCAGCGTTATACCGAAACCATGCGATTCCGAAGTGGAGGATTTCCGATTATGGAGTGTTGACGAAGTGAAGGAAGCAATGTCAAATGGCGAATTCAAGCCAAATTGTGCCCTTGTTCTCATAGATTTCTTTATCAGACATGGTTTCCTCACGCCGGAGAACGAAAAGGACTATCTAGAAATTCTCGCCAGGATACATCGTCGTCACGAATTCCCGACGGTCTAGCCTGCGTGTATATAACAGGAGGCTTCTTCTGTGTTATGCTTTTGCTTTCCTGGCTCTGCTGTTTGGGTCTTGTTCCAATTTTTTTCTTTTCTCCTTTTTTTCAGCCTTTTTTGGTAGACAAGAAGTATATCCAAAGACCGCATTTTTTTTTAATGGACTGACCAGTTCATCCCCTTTTCTAACTCAAGACGCCAGCGCTTAATGCAAATCAGACCAGAACCAAATCATCAAGTCCAAGAATCTCCAACCCCGTTGATGTTTCTTTTGATAGTTATCTTGTGACTCCGCGAGCCCAAGTAAAAACACAAGACGGTTATTATGACAAGATCCGATCCAACAAATGGTGCGAAAAAACGATTTCCATCTGGGTATATCTACTTCTTCATGAGCAGATAGACATAGTCAATCTTAAGTGGGCTGAGCTTGTTGTATGGCCCATCAAGATATAGCAAAAGACCGCCGAAAGAGACGAAGACAGCCCTGAATATCCACCACAATTAGCAACTGCAGTCATCCAGTTACCTGGTCCGAGAACACTCACATATTGCCGGCCGTACTGCTCTCCTCAAATCTGTAAACCTTTCCATAGCAGACATAATCGTAGTCATTTGCGAGAGTGTTCTCCCCCATGCCTACGTCTCTCCATACAGCTCTCTCACCCGTTGCTTCTTCCTTGCCATCCAGCGCCAGTGTCGACGCCAGAGCCAGCGACAGTGACTCTCCGGGGGCGCATGGGTAGATTTCCGTGTTCACATCGAGGGTGAAGGTGATCAGATGGTCTGTAGACGTACAGCTGATGCGCGAGACACGGTCATATTTCTGAGCGTTGATCGAGGTGATGCTGAAGGTGTCTTCGAACAGGATCGGATCCGACATCTTGAGGTACTTTTCCCTTCTTCTTTCAGGTTTCTCTATCTTTCACTTCTTCTAGCAGCCTGTTAGCTAGCTATCTTGATATCCAGAAGGCTTGAATGCGGCTCTCAACGACTTTTCCCGGTCGTTATGCTTTCTCTCTTGCTTGAAATATTTTTTGAAGACGAGGAAACAAAGTTGTTGCTGCTTTTAGATTTTCGTGTGGGGCCGCTTTTAGAGTCAAGTTACTTTTCGCTTTAAGGTGAAGGTGAAAGAGAATCATCCAAGAGACGAGACGCCGAAGGAGAACATTATACAGGTCGATTAGTGATGTCATTCCGCAAGAGGAATATAGGACTCTCATCTGGTGGTCCCCGCGACCCTTCTGCTAATGCGCAACCGCCAGCTCAGCAGGTCAAGCCAGCAGAATCTACCCCCGGACTGCGCCCCTCCCCCATCGATGGCCGCCAGATCACGTCCACAGGCACCCCTACGCTGGATAGCTTGCTGGCCGGCCATGCGGGCTTAGCTCTGGGAAGCTCGCTACTGATTGAGGAGAGTGGCACAACTGATTTCGCTGGAGCGTTGCTGAGATATTATGCCGCAGAGGGAGTTGTCCAGGAACATCGAGTTCACGTCGTGGGGTTTGAGAGACAGTGGGCAGCAACCCTTCCTGGACTTATCGGAGCTGCAGAAGCATCTGAGAGTAGCCCCAGCAGGAATAAAGAGGATAAAATGAAGATTGCCTGGAGGTATGAACGGTTAGGGGGCTTCGGGTTTGGGATTGCTGGCTCCAGAGGTATGGCCCTTTACCGTGAGAAAGGTGAAGACGAAGACATAGGAGGAAAGCGATAGGCTAATTTCTCTATAGTACCAGCGGCGACTACCGAAACCGCTGGTGATACCCAGCAAGCATCTCAGGGCAATGCGCCAAATGTCTTTTGCCATGCATTCGACCTCACGAAGCGCCTCACACACCCATCTATACAGACTATGAATTTCATACCACTCGCCAAGCCGAACGCCAGTACGGATTCGCCCTATTCCTCTATAACTAAACAGCTGGCCGAAGCCATAGAAAGCTCCTCATCCAATACCATTCACAGGTTAATTGTACCGTCGCTGCTATCACCCGCTCTATATACAACTCACGCGAGCCAACCTGAACATGTCCTGCAATTCCTACACGGCATCCGCGCCCTTCTATCCACCTATTCAAGCCGACTAACGGCAATGATAACACTTCCAATATCACTCTATCCTCGATCCTCAGGGCTGGTCCGGTGGATGGAGCTGCTCTCTGATGGAGTGATGGAACTGGCCCCGTTCCCACATACTCTCGATCCAAGCTCATTGGCAAGCTCCGGGGCAGCAACTAGCCAAGAAGAGCCACCACAAGGGATGCTCAAGGTGCACCGTCTCCCGGTCCTGCACGAACGTGGTGGCGGCATGGACAAAAATGTAGGCGAGGACTGGGCATTCACGCTAAGCAGAAGGAAGTTTGCGATCAAACCCTTCTCATTGCCTCCTATAGACGGAGACAATGATGCTCAGCAACAGGATGTCTCTTCTGCGCCTAAAAAGGAAGATCTGGAGTTCTAAGCCTTAAACAATACGGCGACACATCGCAGTCAACTCCGTTTATAACCCATTTGGTCGTGGTTGTCCTGTTCGTATGTGACAGGGTCACTCAGCATCTCGTCCAGTTCGATTTGCTCTGATAGGGCCGAGCTGCCGCTGCCGCCCATTGTTCGTAGATAGTTACGATCAAATACTCCGTCCCGAGGCTCCAATCTAAAGTTGACATCCCGGGTTCCAAACGCTGCTCTCAGACAGAAGCGAATAGTCCAAAGAGCTATTCAGAGGAGTTAGACCCCGATCTTGAAGGGGGAAACTGGAATAGCCAGACTTACCAAGTAGCAATAGAAGCAGCGAAAATACTATTAAACCGAGAAGCGATAGTAAATCCATCGTTAAATGACATTAATCAACCGTCAAACAGCTTCATCGTCTTCACGTTCAATGTTGATGTTGTTAAATGAAGACAACGAGAAGCTTATATGATGACTAATCAGAATAACACTTATGTCATGTGACCTATTTTGGCTCGAGCTTTCTCTTCTTTTTTTTTCTTCCACAACAAAAAAATCAAAACCGACGAAGACGATGGGAATATTCAAACATCCCTCGTTAGAGGGTCAGAGCTGCCTGGTAAGTGAAGGAGTTCTCTATCGATAGGTTTTCTTTGTTTACAATCGTTATATGATTATTCCAATTACTTAATCTGTCAATCCCCTGAATCCCAAAATGGGAATACATGATTGAGAACAGTATTCATATAATATGACTCGATTCTGCCTTTGCTGTCCTTGCAACTTCTAATGACTCTTCAGCGCACAGCAGTAACTAACTAGCTATTTATCAGCAGGTAACATGGACTTGAAGCCTGGTGTGGCTGCAGGGGAAGAGCCAGAGCTACCAATCCCCATCTCTTTGATATCAGGCCGCTATTTTCTCTTCTCCATCGACGCAGTAACATATCTACGTCGTGAACATCACATTTGCGGCGTACTAGTAGGGACTCTACCTCAAGTTCCGCAACAAAATGTTTTCCTAGGGCTGCCACTGGAGTTAATGCCTGAGGAGGCTAGGCTATTGGTAGAAAAGGATGTGGCATATGTTGTGGACGACACACAGGCTCATACCCAGGGTATCACCAACCTACAAGAGGAAGATAAAAGACGCTATCTCAATGAACTAAAACAAAAAGGACTCCAGGCCACCCTTATTCTAGCTGATAAAAAAGCAGAAAGGCGAGAAATAGCATTGAAAAGGCAGAAAGATAAAGAGGTAAAGAAATCCAAAAGAAAAACCAAAGGTGAAAAGCCAGAGGTAGCAGAAGGAGACACGCCATCACACGTCGAACCAGAGACTGAAATTGATGATGGCGATGGTGATGACGAGCTTCTATTCGCACCGCCCAAGAAGCCAGCCGTGGCAGGGGATACTGCTTCTAGGGACTGCGGAGAACAGATATTAGAAGTCACCCCCGCTACATCCAATGGACTGTTACCTAGAGCGGCACCCCGAGCTCCCGCATATCTCCCAGAAGCTCCTTCGTCCTACCCACTCTTTGCTTACTTGCACTCAAAGGGATACTTTCTCTCCCCTGGATTGCGTTTTGGTTGCCAGTATATGGCTTATCCTGGTGACCCATTACGCTTCCACTCTCACTTTCTGGTGGTCTCCACCAAATGGGAAGAAGAGTTCGATCTTATGGACCTTGTTGCCGGCGGACGACTGGGAACTGGTGTCAAAAAGGGCTACCTTATCGGTGGTACTGAAAAGTCCGATGATGAGGGCTCTGAACAAGTAATTAGGACGTTCAGTCTTGAATGGGCCGGAATGTGATGATATCCTCTTCATTTGTCTCTATTCCCATTCCATATACCAGCGTTTGACTCGATTGCGGCAGTCCGCAGTGACCATTTACCATTACCCCAACGATGTCAGGGTATTGGTTCGTCGGAAGCGTTATTCAGTTTGCATAATATCCCAGTTGTATTGGGAGTTGTATCTTCAATGTTTCAATACTGATTACCCAGCTTTTTCTATGGCACATGATCAAAGCAAGACTCAAATCCAAGAGAGAGTCACTGTGCTCATGTCACGTCAGACTCGCCCCTCTGGCCTACTATACATACCAACAGGCAGAAACATATAACCATATACAGAAATGGAAATCAATCATGAAATATCTATAGCTTAAAGTGCTGCATGTCCCATTCCCTCAGGTCGTCTCCGTAGCTTTTCTATTCTCTAGCGTTTCCCATTTCAGTATTATCATAGGCGTGAATATATTAAGAGAGGCAAGACCGCAAGAGGTTCTTTGCAATGGCCTAGTGGCCGAAGCTGCATTCAGATACGGCCTCCAACGCCTGATGAGATTCTGATGCCCACTATGCAAGCTAGCTAGACTTCGAATATAAGCCATCTGTCTCAAGGTATCGTCATAGGTGGCATCTCGATAATTTCACAGATAGTCCAGGTTCTTCCATTTAAACTTCTTGTTGGCTCGTTCCGGAGCACGGTTTTCAAATTGGTTCCCATGTATCTCGAAAACAAAATTTTTCGCCTCAAAGCCCGTCCGAGCCTCTGTATTAGGATCAGAGGGGTGAGGTATCTCAAATCTGAATATTGTATGTTCCTTTGGAATAGCTAAATCGCGGTAAAACCAAGTTAGCTAAATTCCACCTTCAGCATACAATGGGCGGGCAGAAGGATGGAGGGACTATATATACTCTTCACTTCACTTTTCTCCGTAATCAGTACAAATGCAAACTTCGTGTCTCTGACAACAATCCCCCTCAGGCCAACGCGGCTCACGCACCGGCTACGCACAACTTGGATGTCTGCGCCATGGAAATCAGCACTTGCCAGTTTGCTTCCGTGGCTCGCGGCGGTTATTCGATTGCTTTTCTCCATGGCCGGAGTTGGCGTTTTTCCTGTTGAATCTGAAGCTGATCGCGGAACCAGGTCTAGGACTTGCCACATATACTCGGTCCACAGCCGATTCAAGCCCCTGAATATTTCATATTTCATTTCTTCCTTGGGTAATTTGTGGACTCCCAGGTCTCTCTTCTCACGTGCGGAAAGAGGTTTTGGCTTTTGCTTGCGTAGATAATATTCCTTCTTTCGTATACGCTGCATCCGGCGCCGTGATCGATTGTCAGATGGAGTGGGAGACGTTGGGCGCAAGAAGAGAGGCCGATGTTTGACCTTGTCCGCGAAAAGCTGCTCTGCAGTTTCTGGTGGATGTGCTCGTTCCAGGAGCCGGTGTGCCATATGTACTTGAGCCATGGTCCCTGGCTTGTAGAGTATTTTACCCGAGTGCCTTTCTCGCGTAGTCTATTATTTCTGGTAGCTGGTACTTATATTCGTATAGCTTTTGGGTTTTTTTTTTTTTTTTTTTTTTTTTTTGAGATCGTGGTGTTGATTTCAGGCTCTAGTTGATAACAATGGCAGACCCGTTTAGATCGCTGACAGTTTCTAATCAGCTAAAAGCAGAAGTCCCTAAGTATAGAAAAGGGGGAAATAATTCTCTTTCGGGAAACGAGAGCGTTCATTTGTAAATAATATAATGACTGTGAAATTTGAATGTTAATAACGAGGAACGGAAAAGCGATGTCTGAAGATCCAGAGGCTCCACGGCCTAATAAAAAAAAAAAAAATAATAATAATAATACAACTTCATCCCAAACATCCACGCTCGGGAGATGGACAACATAGCCAACAATATTTGGGGATAATGAGAATGCTAACACTACAAGGGCTGAAAGCCTAGAGCTACCTTTTCCTCAGGCCTTCGAGATATTTCATGATGTATACCTAAAGAACCAGGTGATTCGTGGAAACTCTCCACCACCGCAAAGACAATGGACAGGCATCATATTTCGTCCCGTAAAACCTGAAAGCGAGACGAGCGGCTGGTAAATCACGTCTAAAGACCGGTTGAAAACTCTCGGCTCAATGTGGTGATTTCTATTCATCTAAAGTTGAGATCAAAGATACATACACAGCCTCTCCTTCCGCTAGTATGATTCGATTATCCGCGAATAGAGCAGATCTGTCTACCTTGAATCAATACCCAGATGGAACAGACGAGATGGTTCTTTATTCTACTCCAAGAGCCGGGTGGATGCATGGAGTGTAAGGTTTCATTGCATTCTAATTAATTCCTTTTTATTCTTTGGCCATCAAGGACAACGACTTAAGGCAGGATATCGGAATGAAGACAGGAAAAGCAACGTCATAACAGCAAGGTCAATATACAAGAAGGGGAATCATCGTTTTATCACCATATTCAGTTTACAAGAGGCCAATCCAGGCACCGAGAGCAACCACGCCAGCGAGGACAGCGCTGCCCTTGAGACCGGCAGCGGCACCGGGGGAGGCAGTTGGGGTGCTGCTGTGGCTTCCAGAGCCGGTAGCGCTGGGGATGCTTCCGCTGGGAACGAGGGTGGCATCTGGGATACTCTGGGTGTTGCTGGAGCCAGAACCGGAGGTAGAGCTTGGGTGAGAGCTGGAGTGGCCTCCAGTAGCAGTTGGAGCAGAGGTAGTGCCGGAAGAGGAGCCAGAAGAAGAGGCAGAAGAAGAAGAGCCACCAGAGCCACCAGAGCCACCGAGGGTGCCTCCCTTGACCTGGGTTGGCGAACCGCTCTGGGGAACGATCTTAGCTCGGTCCTTGTAGTCGGCCTGGTTGTCTCCAGAGGATCTGATATTGCAGCATGTTAGCCGGATACCCGTCATTTCCATGGCTTTCAATCTCGATGATGAAGGTGACTTACGGCTCGTTGATGACGAGACTCATTCCGTTCTGGCAGTGCTTAGCGACGGAGCAGTAGATCCATTTGGTCTTGTCGTCGTGGATTGGGACGGTGAAGGTGACGCCCTTGCCCTTCTCGACGGTGTCGACCACACCGGACCAGATGCTCTCTCCCTGGATTGGCATGCATGGGCTGTCGTATCTGCCCAAGGTAACGTCGTGGTGGCCCATGACGAAGTGGAAGACGACCTCATCTCCGGACTTGGCCTTGATGTTGTCTGGGATGAACTTGAGGCCGCCCTGGCCGACCATGACGTCGATGGTTTCGGCGGCAGCAACGCCAGCGAGAGCGACAGCGCTCAGGACAGACTTGGTAGCAACCATTGTGATGATATCTGTACGAGATCCGAGACCGTGAAGTGCTTTGAGAGGCGTGTAGGTAAGTGTATGGCTGCAGATACTAGGTAGCGAAGATGTCTTTAGAAGAGCAGTGGCCGCGGCCGCAGGAGCTTCTCTTTATATAGAAGAGCCACGACCTTAATTTACTTTTTTTTTATTTTGCTTGTACCGTCCACAGCTGGCCCCCTATATTAGTTTCTTTTCTATTATGTAGTGGAATATGCCTATTATTCACTTCCCTCAAGTACAAGAAAGTGACTGTGAGACCCATGCTGCCGCAGGTTTTCTTTTCTTTTCTTTGCTAACGCCGTGTATGTACGTATTTTCCTCCCAGCAATAATAACTATGCCGGGGTCAAAGTTCGCCGGCAAGCCCCTAGCTCGCCAGATAGAAAAGACGGGCAAATGGGAAGAAAGAAGGTGATAGCTGTGGGCAGACGAGCTGGAGAGAAGCCTATGGGGTGTCCCCAGGCAGACCAGCATGAAGTGTGGGTATTCTGGACAAGCAAGCAAGCCAGCAAGCAAGCCTCTTCCTCCATTATTGGTTATCGACGAGTGATCTCACGCATCGGACAGGGACAGCATCTCGCAAAACAGCCCGTCTGGATCGGTACAGGGCGGTTAGGAAGGGCACAATCAAGGGCAGACATGGACCATCCTTGCTGCATTAGCTCCCTGTCCCATCTTTACTTTGATATGCTCGAGCCGGAGGATATGTCAGTTCTCGCCCCTGGATGGTTTCGCAGGCATTTCGAGCAGACGAACGTTGCATATTCCCAGTTACAAATTCCTCGACTCAGCAGACGACATGTTACAGGTGCTGCCTCTGACTGCCTCTCTCCCTTGCCTTCGTTTCTCCCTCCGTATCGAGAGGGGACGGGCTATCCTCGATCGACGCTTGCTTTTACAGGGCTTGGGGATCGACAACGTAAGGGGCCTGCTGGCGCTGCTTACTATCCCCAGTACCAGCAGTGCTTAAAGAAAGTAAAGTCTGGGGTACGAGGGACGACAGTCAAGGCACTCCATGCAGCTCTTCAGCCAACCTTAACTGCGCATTTGATAGACCAGCAAGCGAGGAGAAGATGGATAGCCAAAAGTCAAATAGAGAGAGCATGCGTAAGCTCTGCGGACAGCCGAATCACCAACAGGCATCCAGCCTGCCTTTGAGCCAACGGGGTCTCAAAAGGAGCCAGCAGGAGGCTAAGCAAGCGTGGGAATCATTTCCAGCTTACAAACGAACCACGGCCTGGATTGGAACGAAGTCAAGCAGAAAATTTAGCGCCCGGTTTCAGGTCTGGTCTTGCAAGAGCCTGTGGACCTTGATATTTCTCGAACACCACATGGGGGCTCCATCGTTCTTGTCGTTGCGGAGGATCTAGCGATGGGCTGACGGGGCTGGGCTGGGCTGGCTTGCTGGCAGATGGCTGTGCTCGCCTCCCTTCTCATGCCTCATGCACTGTGACTTGGACAAGCACATACTTCCATACGTACATACATGGTCGGCGGCGTCTCGGTTAGCCGTACCCGTCAAGCCAAAAAAAAAAAGAACCCCAGGGAATCGGGCTGCCTTCTTTACGAAACGAGGGCAGCCGGGGTCGGAGATTCATGTCTGAGCCCCTAATTCATCGTCACGGCAGACCCCGTGTTGGCCGATGTGCCACAGCATTGAGTATCGATTGGACACTTTGACATCCCGAGGACCATGAAACCTCGACCTGCCATTATGCGAGTATGGCGACTATCTTGTTTGATTCCTCAAACGTACCACGAGTAGCACCTTAAGCTCGGCCGTCCATCTGTCAGGGTCTCACCGCAGCCCATCCATTGTGGCACGTAACGCTCCTTGTCACTTTTCTCTGGATATCGGTTGGCTCGCTGCTGTATAACTATACGAGCCATGCCAGTCTTAATTTAATACGCAGGCAAAATTCCTGCTATCCAAAGGGAAAACGACCTTGCCTTCGCAGAGCAACCTCTCGCCCGATAGTTGGCTCTCCAACAGAAGACCGTCCTCATCTCTTGGTCGTTATCCCGCCAAATGAAACCCAGGTCAGGATGATCGAGCAGTCACTCCCGTCCCTGAAGGTCAACGATGTTCCATTCCAATGCAATCAATTCTTTCGATTGATTCTCTCAGAGGTTTGCAACCAATATGGCCAGCAATAGAGGCTTCGAAGCGGCTCATCAGAGCATCGAGCTCCAGCCCAAAAAAGAAAGTCAATCATCGACAAGGCGAAGAAGCGGGCTCTAGGGGCCTTGTCAATATATACGGCTCTCCTGGCGAAACTCGTTCGAACGGCTCTGTCTAACCACTTCGCAAAGCAACTGTGGAATCGGACCGACGGAACCAAACAGCAGCCGCTGAATGTACCAGGAATCCAGCTTGAGCTCCAGCAGCCAGTCGACATCAATCTAAGAACACCTGCGATCCTGTCGGGAGTTCCAAGACCGGCAAATATAAATGCAAATATTGAATCAATACTTCATCAAATGTTATATTGCAGATGCCATGTTCAAATCCAGCCCAGCAACCCAAGAGTCGCACCAACTAACTATTAGCTACATCTGGTCATCAATTATTGAACAAAACGACCGACTCAAAACATCACCCGGATATGATTAAACAGATGGTCTTGAGCAGCAGCGAGCTATGTTCCTGAGGTGCCAATGTCGGGCCCTTTGGTTCGAATGCCCCCCCGTCCTACCACCCCCGGTTGTCTCTGTGCCACCCATGTAACTAACCAATAAACTAGCCAACGACGAACCGAGTAGGCTGTAGAACTTAACCATTCTCTTCATGCTTCTGCTTCGCTTGGAAAGATGTTCTTTATATTGCAGCGTCTCGCATCGTCCCATATGCGGCCTCTCATCACGTGGAGTTGGCTTGTTCCGGCTGTTCAAATAACTAACAGCAAACGTCGCCAGCTGCAAAGAGCCAGACAAAAGGGATAACTCGATAATAAACCTGACTGGCGAGTTGCTTGTCTGACTAGCTGCTGCTAATACCTGTGTAATGACCGCATCAGAGACGGAAGTGACAGGCAACAGAGGCCAGGCCCCCTTTTTCTCCTGCCTCAAAAAGTCGAGCTGTCAGCAAGCGACAGCTTCATCCTGTCCCTAACCGCTTATAGCTTCCCCTGGACCACATAGCAGCCTACGGAGTTTTCCCTAACACTCCATCAAATGGCCTCCATCCTTGACTCGACAGTTCACCAGAGACAATGCAGACTTCCCCCGAGACCGGCGGGGAGGAGTCGGAGGACAGAGCAGAGAACGTATCTCCATGATGACATCATGTATCTCATCGCCGACCATCTTTACCCGGTGGACCTCCTCAGCTACATACGTGCGATTCCTTCGATAGCCCATCTCCTGACGAAGAAGCAAATCAGCCGCCGGGACCGTGATGGCTCTTCTCTGCTACACCTTGTTGTGTCAGAGCGAGACATCCAGATTGCAAGCATAATTGTTACAGACTCCGTTGATCCGAATGTGCTGGACGGAGACAAGGCCACTGCGTTCAGCCTAGCCGTCAATCTGGGGTACGAAGACATGGTCAAGCTGTTCCTCGGGTGCAAGCAGCTCGATGTTAACGCCGTAGATAACCAAGGCTTCACAGCGTTAATGGTTGCCGTGCATAAGGGGTATACCGGTATAGTCGACCTTCTCTTGCAGAGAGAAGATATAGATTTCAACATACGGAGCGAGAAGGGAGACACTGCACTTGTGATTGCGATAGGAAAAGACAACAGCAGCATAGCCGGGGCTCTTCTTACTAGGGAAGACCTTGACGCCAGCTTCCCCGGCCACCGGGCTGCTTTTCGTGCAATATACCATCCCGATGCATCTCGTTTGAGGCTGCTACTTGATCGCAAGGAGATTGATATCAACTGCACGACTGAAACTGGCAGGACAATGCTCATGCAGGCAGTGGAATTCGGACACTTCGAAGTAGTCAAATTGCTTCTAGAGCGAGAGGATCTCGACGTCAATGCCGCAGACAACGCCTGGGACACGGCTTTGATCATTGCATCGTTTCGTGGGTTCAATCGCATAGCTTCCTTGCTGATGGAACGAAAAGAGCTTGATATGAATTTCCAAGTCCATGATGGCACAGCTCTCATGCACGCTGCACGAACGGGATTTGGTGACCTCGTCTACGTACTGCTGAACCGGCCAGATGCTGACATCAACTTACAAGATCACCGTGGCCGAACGGCTCTCATGTTCGCAGCGCGTGACGACATGGGCTATACAACATCTGACAATGCCGCGGAAGTGCTACTAGCCCGGGAGGACATTAACGTCAATATAAGAGACAGTCGAGGCAGGACGGCTCTCATGCTCGCGGTGGAAGCCGGCCAGAGACGTAACGTCGATTGCTTACTGCGGAGGGCCGACATAGACGTTGACATACAGGATGCGAACGGAGCTACGGCCTTGACTTACGCTACTAACGGGGAACACGAAATTATCCGAGAAATGATCCAGAATTATGTTCATGTTAAGCAAACCATGGGACTCTTGACGGCAGAAGGGAGTAGCAACCTTATTTGTAGCTGAAGTTGCGGGAGGTTTGAGCATTCTGCATACCCGTTGGTGCGTGAAACTGTTGTCTGATCGATATCTTCGGAGTGCATATCGAGATGAGTACCTAGGTAAGAATCAAACTCTTCAAGGAACAGTGTCTCCTCTGGTCCAGCTTATTCTCAAAGTCTCCAATTGGGCGTTTCACAATGGGTTCCCGATTTCCGATATCCACTACAAACCACGTTTGTTCTATTAAGGACCGGATTCCACATTAGCCGCATGTAAACAACCAGTCCTCTGTACGCCGTTTGGTCGAATGGGGCTTCAAGGAATGGAAAACCGTTTATCGTGTACCGGATATCAAGGATGGCGGTTAAAACGCCCGATGCCAGTCACCGCTTCAACGGGAGAGCTATCTGTCAAGGAGAGGTTAAGCTAAAAAGACTACGGTTCGGAGAGTCAATGCCTAAGGGCCGTCTTTGTTTGATATCTGAATCAGCACATATCGTCAAATAATAATTGGAGTCAGGAAGTTTATCGGGAGTATGGAATGCAAAGGGATCTACTGTGACACAATTCTCCATGCAGAGGGGCAGCGTTGGACGGTATAACTACATTTACGGACACTCTGTCCACCTATCCCAGCAGTTGACTTACGACCTAACCGTCTCTCAATGGAGTGCTAGATAGTAGGTCGTAGCAATTTTCTTTAAGACCGGCGTACAGCCCTGGCAACATCAAGGAGCTATGTATGTAGAGTACACGGTTAGCGCTGCCTGGGCGAAAACAAAGGCAGCAATATCCGCGCCAAGTACCACCATGCATGGCATTTCCCCCGTCTCTCCAGGATATCGAGGAAGACAGTCCAGAGTCACGGCGATCCGTAACCCCGGTCTTATCCATGCGTCAAATCATATGAAAGACGGACAACCATGACCTTAATTGGCATGGAGTGTGAAGACTCACGCCCAATCTGGCCTGCTTTCGGAAGACTCCCCGAGTATCAGACTTAATCGGAAAACGCTACAGTAATGCCTATGGTAGTTGAAATATTTAGAATAGCGCTGGCAGAATTCTCAGCTTATTTGATAACAGTATATATAGAATATATAGATGTATGCGAGGAAGTGGGGATTCGTAGAGGAGAACAAGCTGCCATCGCTGCCCCCTATAGCACGTTTGCAGGGAGGTGGATCACAAACAGAGGGATTTCCCGGAGTCCATGCACAAAGGTGCAGGGTTAGGGAATACACCTTGAACGCAGGCAATTAAACACCGGGCCAGTTGCTGTAGCTCGACCGGTTTAAAATCTCTTAACATCCTCCCTCCCGCCTACTGTCTTTGAGGCGTGACCGGTTCCCCTCGACAGCACCGCATTCGTTTCAGTTTTTCTTTTCATTTTCAGGCACCTATGGATCTAAAACCGGGAGTTTTGCAGCATAGGCCGGAGGGCGAGCTTGTAGTGGACGAGGACGCTCTCGAGTTCCTGGAAGATTGCGAACATCGAGAAAAGCAGCTTATTCGACGGATAGATTGGCGATTGTTGCCTATCATTGGTGCGCTGTATGCCATATCTCTCATTGACAGAACCAATGTACGGCCCTCCCTCCTGTCCAAATATGAATCCAGGAAGCAAAGCTCACACAATTCACTAGATATCGAGCGCCCGTATAGCAGGCTTGGACAAAGAGTTGAAACTGTATATTGATTCACGGTACTCTGTCGTTCTGCTAGTATTTTTTATTCCGTATTTCATCTTTGAGGTACATCAATCACCACCCGCAATTTAACTGAAGGCGTTCACCGACAATGTGAATATAGCTCCCGTCAAATCTGCTTTTGCGAAAAGTTGGCAGCGCCATATGGCTGGCCGGTATTTCACTTGCCTGGGGATCAATTATGCTAGCATCGGTAGGCTCTTCTCAGTCTAGAGATGCAGATGGGCGTGAAGATTGACAACGTTCCTGTTAGGGCTTCGTGCACGACTATCCAGCTTTGGTCGCGTGTCGATTCTTCCTTGGTTGTTTTGAGGCTGGTAAGCTCAACAAGAGTGTGTAGATGGTATGTACTGTTGACTGACATGTGGAGTGCAGGATTATTCCCAGGATGTGTTTATCTTGTCTCATGTTGGTATGTGAGATATGAAGTCCAGACCAGGTATGCACATTTTTCCACTTTAGAGGATTTAAGTGGCGTTACTGACGCTTGAGAATGAAAGACTGGCCATATTCTACCTCATTTCGGTCCTCGCTAGCGGATTTTCAAGTATCCTATCCTTTGGGCTCATTCAAATGGAGGGTCTTGCCGGCTTCCATGCATGGAGGTGGATCTTTGTAGGTTTCCCAATTTTCACCATGTGACTGAAACACGTGTTCTCAGGGTTAATCATGGAATATAGATCGTTGAAGGGGCCTTGACTCAGGCTATCGCGATAGCAGCTTATTTTATCATCATAGATTTTCCCGACAGGGCCGCAAAGACAGGATTCCTCTCATCAAACGAGGCAAAATACATCTCACACCGTCTGGAGAAGGACAGAGCCGATTCGGTCCCTGATCCGCTCACTCTTGTTAAGCTGAAGACCCATTTGGCAGACTGGAAGCTATGGACATTGTAATCCATCCCGCGTTTGAATTTGTTTTGTTCTGAAGGCTGCCACAAATACTAACGAAATATGTATAGTTCGACGATGTTCCTGGCAACCACAGTTCCAGCGTGAGTACCCCCATACACATAAAGGAATTCAATATTGAACGTGGAAACTAATTTGGGTAACAAGATATGCTTTGACATATTTTGCCCCCATTATCATCCGGGTAAGTGAGATCATATGCTCTCCAACGCATTGTTACGCACCTGCTAACTCATGTGGGGGTGGCAAGGCTATGGGGTATTCTCCGGCTATAACTAGTCTTCTCACAGCGCCTCCGACGGTATTTGCCTGTGTTGTAGCCATGGCACTGTCCTGGGTGGCCGACAAGTACCGCATGCGAGCTCCCATCATCGCCGTCCAAGCCATCCTTTGCATCATGGGCCTGATGATAACGGCATATCACCCAAGCAACAACGTCCGGTATTTCGGTTTCTTCCTTGGAGCAGCCGGCTGCCAGGGAAACATCCCAGCCATCCTCGCTTACCAGTCGAACAATATCCGGTTCCAGTCCAAACGAGCTGTGGGCAGTGCCTTGCAGATTGGATTTGGTGCACTAGGGGGTATCATTGCGTCGACGGTGTTCAGAGAGCAAGACGCGCCTAAGTACATACCTGGTCTCTGGGTGACGACCGCCTTCCAGCTGTTCATCTTGGTTGCTGTGGCATGCACGACACTCATCTTCTGGATGAGAAATAACGAGGTCGACGAGGGCAGAGCAAGGAAGCCCATCGAGGGACTGGAAGGATTTAAATATACTCTCTAGAGAGTTTCATTGATATTCTTTTTTGTTAATAATTTTAGTAGTAATAGCATGAAAAATATCGGATTTAATTAAGCTCTTTCGACTTTTCTGGTTCTTCTTTAGACTTTACCACGTGATTATCGTACCGTACCGGTACCTGAAACGGCTACTGATACGGTTACCGTTACTATTACCGTAATTACCAGACCAAAGCTTAAAGAAAAAAAAGTAAATAAACATCAACATTTTGTTTTTTTTGCTTCTTTTTGGGCATCAAAAGCAAAAGCACACTGCAGAGCAAAGCACGAGAGTAACAGACGAAGGAAGCAAACAAGTAGGAAAACAGAGGGGGAAAAAGGAAGGAAAGCCAAATATAAGAAAAGAAAAAGCCCCCAGAAGTCCTCCCGACACGGAGGTAACCAGCGGTATCGCGTTCTGGGGGCCGCACAGCAGGCATCTCTGGGGAGGTACATATACTTAACTTATTTACGCCACGGTTCCACCAGGTCGTGAAGGTGAGGCCTGACAACAGCAGGCAGTTCATCCAATAATTTCTGGCTAGTAGCTCAGTGTCTAACTAACCTCCACCAGAAACGAAGCTATACATAGCACGGCGCATATATTTCTATCTGCCTTACAACTTACCTGCCTATATCAAAGGCAGATATCACTTCTTACTCTCAAGGGTTCAGCAAATCGTTAACTCCACGCCATCTGACCCGAGTCATGTCAGGCGAGAATGAGGAGAGTAAACAAGGCTTTCTTTCTCGACCGATAAGAAGGAACGAAAAGATGAAAAAACCGTCTGGCCCAACCAGATTGTTGGTGTTGCATTTGCCATTCACAACACGATGCAGGCAAGAGGCAAAGGGCGAAAGGTGTGGGATTCCCATGACCATGGAATGAAGTCATGAAGAGGGGAAAAGGAAAAAAAAAAGAAGAAGAAGAAGGAGAAGAGCGCATGGGTTTCGACGATAAGGGTTCACTGACGACAGTAACAAATTGGGAAATTGGAAGGCCTCGGGAAAAGATTCTCTCCCCGTTCCGTCACTTTGGGACTGGAGCTGGAACGCAGATGCAGTGTGGACGAAACGGGGTAACGGATCCCGCCCGGTCTTGCCTTGAGGTGCCACGGACGGTAAGTAAGGTGACGGAGCAACAGCCCAGAAGAGACCATTGACACAAGGATGGGGTAGTCGTTCTTGGTGGATGCGTTCCCAACCAGGAGGAAAAGGGCTCTATCCTGGTCTATATCAGAATTAATGTTCGGAAGCCAGGGGGTGCAGAGTTGGGACCGAACTGAGTTTTGCTCTTCCATTTCGTTTCTGCCTGTCTTCTGCTGCATGACGATACGAAGCCCGGGTGCGTTTAATTTTATGCATCGTTCGGTTTCATTGAAGAATGTGGAATATGGATGAGTTCTTAAGTCGGCCAGCTGCCTGAGAGAAGGAGCCAGATCCGAGTCCCAGGTGGACACAACTCATAAACCCCCTCACTTACTCGCTGTCCGGATGCAGTATATGAAGCATACTGACATATTAGCACCGACGCATCATGGACTGCTTGCATCCAGGCGCGTGAGGATGTATATCAATCCCTCCGCTTTGTCTTGGTAAAAGTGCTACACGTGTTACTACTGACAGCCCTGGTCCGGTTGAACTTGTTAGAGTATCACCGTGATACTACGCTGGCTGGGACCAAGCAATCTAATTACGTATCCCCCTCCCCCATTTCTCCCACACCCCTCTCTCCGTGCCCGGCGGCTGATCGAGACGAGATGAGATGGGAGGCAAGGAGGATGAGTGATCGCAAAAATACCCTTAAAATCCTGAAGAAGCTTAAACCAAACCAGCCAACCAGGCCGTAACTAACAGGGCCCTTTTACCGCCCGACGAAAATCAGGACCAGAATCGCCAGCCTACCAGATCAAGAAGAGCAGTAAGTAGCCAGTTCTTGTCGGCGATGTCCTTGGGCATGGGACGAACGTCAGGGGGAGGTCAAACCCCTTACTTTTTTTTACCATCATGGCCAACCAGAAAGCGCCAATGCGGGAGCAAAGGCCAGCGGAGCCCATCGACGGACCAGCCCAAAGGTGGGATTGGATGGTTTAGTATTATATATACTATTATTCTCTCTCTTGCTGTTCCCGCAACAACTACCGACTGCATGTCCTCCCCCTGCCGCTTTGCTCCATAGCGGCGGCTGATGACTGGCCGATTTATCATCGCTGGGTTTGTTGGTGGGGAAAGCACACATTATATACATGGGTCTGGTCAAGTCAAGTACATGCTTTTGGCTGTTTCTGGCCATTATGCTGGAACAGACTGTGAGAGGATGAGCGAGTGAACATGCAGAGGCGGTTTGCGGTGCATAGTATTAATACTTGAGGGCTGAGTATAAGCAGGGGTGAAGGTATGGTCAAGGAGCGTCGGCATGGACTTGCTATAATCGGCGAGGGGAAAGGGGGTGGTTATTATTTAGTTCTACAGCGAGACAAAACGTACGATAGATATATGAAGTGCATATATTACATGCAGAAGTAATAGACGGAGATTCAATTCTGTTCCTTGTTTTTAATTGCTTGTCTAGTCTTTCTGTCTTTCTGTGTACTGCTGTAAAAGCAGCAGGTAGTAGTAAGTTGGAAGTAGTAGTAGTTGTTAGTAGTAAGGGGTTAGTAGCAAGGATGAGTGAGGGTATACATCAATACACGGAACAACAGGATGCTTGTCAATCTTTGCGGGATCGTTAAAGGGTGCATGAAGCAAAGGCCAGTCGAGTAAAAAAGGAGGCAAGTGAATCTGAGAAGTCAAAAGGTAATAAAAGTGTTAAAAAGGGGCAAGCATCAAAGTCGTAAAACCGTCATGTAGTAAATCGAATGAAGCAGCTAGCTAGGCAGGTCAACGTCAAGGTAGAAGCAGAAGCGGAGGCAAAGAAAGCAAGAGATGGCGAAACAGGTCGTTCATTGTATGTGATGGCGAAGAGAGCTTTATTTTTCTTTTTGGATATAGTCGATCTAGGAAGAGACGTCTATGAGTGCCAGCTTCTCTTCGACCCGCCGAAGTATCTCCGGATCAGGCTCTGGTTTGATCTTCTTAGGCCTGTTTCATCGTTAGAAAGAAGCTCACAAAAAAAAAAAAAAAAAAAAAAAAAACAAGAGAAGACATACGGATCTCGAATGCAGTCGCCGCACCGCTCATGGTGGCACTGGAGACATATCTTCTCTCCTCCCGTGAACATGGAAGAGCACTCATGGCATGTCCATCGAACGCGCCGACGGGGCTTCCTCCAGACCCGTTCCTGTGGCTCGAATGGCGGCTCGGCATCACCTGGATATCCATCGGGATACTTGTCCATCTTCGCCCTAAAAGTGGTTGTTAGCGTTTGTAAGCTTAAAGCAGTGGCCAGACCTTGGGGAGGCAAAGACATACGGGTCTCTGGGGCACTTTTTGCACCGGAGATGGTGACAATTAAGACACTCGGTGGCAGCTCCTTCGAATAATGTATTGCAGACATGACAGGTTCGCCGCACACGCTGGCGAACAGGCTTGCGCACAAGGTCCTGTCCGCCCGTCCGGCTGGGGATGGTCAAGATAATCTTCTCAGGGCAAGTTTTTCGTCCCTCCTCCCATGCACGGTCGCGAGCGCCATCTGCACTCGCAGTACCACCGCCGGCAGAGGCAGCGGCAGTAGCAGCCCCCGTTGTCGCAGTTGGTGTTGGTGTTGCATTGTTGTTGTTGTTGTTGTTGTTGGTGGTGGCAGCGGTTGTTGCAGCTGTGTTTGTAGTACCGGCACCCGCAGCGGTGTTACTGCTGACAACGTTAACGATCTTCTTCTGGGCCCGCTCCCTCTTGGGCTCGGATGAAGCTGTCTCTGACTTTGAGGGCGGGTAGCGGAAGCACTTCTTGCATCGGGTATGCTCGCACTTGACGCAGACCTTATCGGCGCCAAAGGTAGCCAGACAGCGGTGACAGTTGCGACGAACACGCATACGAATGGGCTTCTCGACTCGTTCGACCTGGTTCAGGGCGTTGCCGGCAGAGATGTTGTTGGTGAGACCGTTGCTGGTAGAGTGAGAGGTAGGCCCGGCCGGAGAGGAAGTGAGGCCAGTAGCAGGGCCGGTGATCCATTCGCCTGGTTCGAGGGTGAGGCCGTACTTAGCAAGAGGGCGCGGGCGCGTTCCTCCTGCATCGAAGTCCACTGGCGAGGAGCTGGCGCCGGCTGAGCTTGACCCTGACCCTGACCTGAGACGGAAGAGGCTGCTGCTGGG